CGAGTCGTGGACCGCATGCTAGACTCAAATGTCAATGTACCCATACGGGAGCTCATGGCAGTCTCACCCGACATCCGCAAGGTATTCCGGGAGCTCATCACCCCGAAGCGAGTCATGGAAGGTATGGTATCAGTCAATGAGTTAACCTCGCGTTCCGAGATCGAAGCATTCGTACGAAAGTATGATCACTGTCTCCCGCGAGCAGACGACGGGCGCATCGTATCTGAACACTTCGAAGCATTGAGATGTATCAAAGCAACCTTGAAGGGAGGGCGGATTCTTTCTTGCATCCTAGACCAGGGCGCTGAATGCATCGTGATGCCAAGGAGAGTATGGAAAAGCCTCGGATCAGAAGTACTGCGTTCGGATCACAAGCTAACCATGGAATCCGGTCAATACTTCCACAGATTGCACGCTCGGTGTCATCGAAAACCTTGCGCTAGATTTTGGTTCAGGGGAAATGTGGTTCCAAGTACAGGTAATAGAATCCGCACACTTCGACATACTCCTCGGACGACCATTCTTCACTCTTACGAGTTGCCGTACTGAAGACCTTCCCAACGGAGAACAAGGACTCACGCTTACGGATCCTAATAGTCGCAAGGAAATTCGCATCGCCCACAGAATCTTGGGTCAAGTTCTGCCCCGGATGCAAACAAGATGAGGCCTGCTCAGACCATCCGCGACGCCAATCTGGATGACCTTGCAGAAGAAGAGACTGAAGAACCGGAAGATGAAGATGCGGACCCAGACACATAAAACTCCCACATTCCTTTTGCCCGACACTCGTTACGCTCACTCGTTTCCACCCCCGCAACCTTCAACTTTCATCACTCAACACATACGCTCGCTTCGTCTCAGTATATATCAAGTAATATAGTATGCATTTCTACCCCGGGTTTTGTCCGGTGCTCTTTTTACCCTATAAACCACACCGCAACTAATTCAGAAAAACACGGGTACTCCACGCACGCAGACATATATACATACAAGGACAGAATGGACTAGACCCGATGCGCAACCAACCGATACCCCTTCTCATTCGCACGCGGCTATCGCATCACGCACATTTGACTCATATAAAGTTCGCATCGTATACTCACCACACCCGGGACACAGGTTTGACACAGAGGAAGGCAGTCGCACGATGAAGATAAGACGGACGGTACTCCGCACGCACCAGACACGTCCTCATCTTTTAGTTCTCAAATTAACAAAGTACCGTATTCGCGCACTCACCATCCCTTCTCGTTTCATAGGCACCCAGTGAGGAACCAGACGGGATACGGATATGGACACGGACGGGAACGGACAAGAAACACGATCACATACATGGCAAAACGAATGTAGTACAGGAGGAAGCAGATGAGTAGGACGGTAATTACTTGCGGGCAGCACGCTTCTTGAGGATGCGCTGCTCCTGCTTGTCGAGCGCAAGGGTGGCCTCGAAGATCATGCTATAGGCTTGCATGAGCTGCGCACGCACCTGGCGCATCTCGTGCAACTCCTCCAGATCCTCCGCATCACCAACATCGTCCTCTACTGCCAGCTTCTTTCCCTTCCCAGTAACGAACCGAACGTCGTCTAGCACCCACCTCACTATCAGAGACCTCGAGTATCTGGCGTTCCGGAGAGGAGACGGTACGACGAATGGAACCAGGCGCGGATAGGCGAGATCCACCAGCAACAGGAGTTGCGGACGGGGCCTTCTTAGTGGATGCCTTCCCAAAGGACGCGTACTCGCATTTGGTCCTCGCAACCTTACAGGGATCGCATTGCTGACCCCGCGAACCACTGCAAGGCTGGTCACGCCTCTTGCAATTGCCACAAGGAAGAACGTGGTCAACCTTAGCACCCGGGACGACCGCACGAGCACCAGATTTCTGCGCAACCACATCCTTAGCCAAACAGTCCCTGACACGCAACGAACAGGACATCAACGCACCGACACGCGTGGCTCATCAGCTTCTGCGGGCTTCTTCGCCTTACGCGCACGTTTGGCAGACGTCACCACTGTGGCGCTCGCAACCTCAGGCTCCCCATCCGCATCCTCCTCCCCACCCCCAGCATCGCCCAAAACCACGTCCATTTTCTCCGCATCGTCCTGCAACTTCTCCGCGAATTGACACTCATGCATTGCGTAGGTCACATTGCCGCTCTTCACCAAAGTGGTATCAGCTGTGGACAAGGACAGCTGCAACCCTCGCTTCTGCGCAGCAGCAAAGCAAGCACTGAACGCAGCCTACGCACCAATCAGCACAACACGAAGAAAGGAACACCGGGCACTCACAGATAACGCATCCCATTGCGCATTCCAGTCCCGCTTCTCTTGCATCAACTCTGGTCTGTCATCCGGAATGGTCTTGATTGTTGCGTCCAGCTTGTCAACGAGGGTCGCAAACTCCTTGCGAAGGCGCACGGATTCGTCCTCTACAGATGGCTTGTCGATGAACACGAAAGGAGGCATAGCAGAGGAAGGATAGAACGAGAAAGAATGGGAAAAAGAAGAGGATTATATGGAAGGGAAACTGCGCACGCAACGTGTTAACACGCAACCCTTGTTCCGGGTCCACAGAAGCATCAAAAGTCCGCAACTCCGATCACCGGCATCCGCATCCTTTTCTTTACCGTTCCGATATGCCCGGTCACGTGACTTATCCTTGGACGTCCCTTGCTAAGTCCACATTCCACGCATGCTGCTGACCAGGGATGGTCAGTGTTTGAGTCCCCCGCAGGTGTAGGAGACGCCCTGGCTGCAGCCCCGTACGGCACCATTTTCCCTTACTGGACGAAGTCATGCCTACCTTCCACAGGCCGTTGCGGACCATCACACAAGGTTGCGGAATCCACGCACTCTACGCATCGCATCGCAATGTACCGTCCGTCCATATCCTGTCCGTATCTGTCAGTTCCCACTGGTGCGTTCTTATCTCTTATTACTGGATCCTGATCATTCGCAGAACTATCCGCATACCGTTCCCATGCATGAGGTCGCATAGCGCTACTTACATATTATCCCCTCCGACTTCGCGTACATATGCGCTCGCTTATACAGTTCCGGTTTCTTACGGACTATGATATATACTACGTTGCAGACTCGTATCCAGTACTTTCCTACATTCCCTCTCTGGTTGTGTGTTGCGGAGTCACTAGCTTAGTCTTACCTTGTCTTTCCTTGCTTGAGCAATCACTTGTTTGCCTTCTCATCCCGCGCAAACGCTCGCATCGCCATTGACAGTTGACTATTGCTAGTCCTAGTTGAGTTCCTTTGCAAGGCGGTTTCTGCACGTCTTCGCATATACCTGGTACCTAGTTTGCTCTACCCGATTACCTGTTCTGATACCTGGTACCCTATCCGTTCGCATACCTGGTACCCACCTGACATTCACTCATTTCTCCGCATCTGCATACCTCGCATCTCCGCATCTGCATACCTCGCATCTCCGCGCATTCTCGCATCTCCGCATCTCCTCACATACCTAGCTGTTCTGTCTTCAGCGCATCACTTCCTTCTTCACTGTTCCCCTCGCTCATACTTGAGGAACTGCTCTCAGAGCTATCCCCTTGGGTCGACTACTATTCTCGCACCCAGCAGGATCGGTACGCTATCACTATAGCGGACTTCTACGATTTCTCCCACACCGGGACCCTGCGTATCACATTGAGTCGCTCGGTACCATCCCTAATCAGGGACACGGCAATTTTCCACCTGGAACCACCTTATCTCCAGACGATTTTATCCCCGATTTCAGCATTGACGAGATGCACCGTCAATTGGTGAAATTCATCGTTGCGGATGATCAAGCAAGTTGATATTTACTTTCTACGTGCCCTTGCTAATTCAATTTCTGCAGGCGATGAACGTTATAGAATGTCTAGAATTTCGACGCCTGATACATTTTTTGCGGGAGGATTTGACCGATTCAGACATTCTCCACCGCACAAAACTTCGTGAGCTCATAATTGTAGCGTGGCAAGAATATTTCCAGGTGTTGAAAGGTGATCTTGCCGTGAGTGTCTAGTTATCGAGAATCCCGCCATACGTCTTATGTATTCTTACAGAGGGCGCAAGGAAAAATATCCTTTACATCTGACCTCTGGTCTGATCAGAAGCTCCGCCCCTTCTTGGCTCTCACGGCTCATTGGATTGCCAAGGAAGAGCAGACGTCGGTGCTCGTCCTGAAGGCAGCATTAATCGCATTTCATCACGTTCCAGGAAGTCATACCGGCAAATCTCTCGGTTCAGTAATACTGAATCTCCTCAATCGCGCTGATGTTGCAAAGGATGTGAGTGTTCAGCTGTACCGTATGATGTGCTCTGACTTCGTTTAGCCTGGACACTTTACTTTGGACAACGCGGCGAATAATCAAACATGCATGAAGGAACTTTCAAACCTACTCGAAGAACGCGAGATCACATATGATCCAATCGAAAACCGAATTCCTTGCTTTCCGCACGTGATCAACATATGTGTAAAACATATTGTTGACGACTATGCGACAGCGGATTTCTCATCCGTGGAGAATACCTGGAATGTGTGTGGTCAAATCGTCGTCAAGAATGAGTATGTCGGCGCCATCACCGGTAAAGCTCTCAAACGGGCCAGAAATCTTGTTCGCTCCATCCGTGCATCAAACCAACGACGTTCGAATTTTAGGGATACCATCGTGATAGGTAATGAAAAGGATTGGTTCCGGGGAGATACAGGCGAGCCTATAAAGCTCCCTACAGTCGAGCTTTTGCTCGATGAGCCAACCCGCTGGGATTCAGTTTATGTCATGCTCAATCGTCTACGCAATCTACGTCAGGTGAGGTCTCATCTCACTGAATATTTGTCGTGGGCTAACCATTGCTCAGGCGGTTGATATGTTCTTCGAGTCTCCCAACCAACGTTCTATATACGACAAAAAGTTGAGCCCAATAGAATGGCATTTCCTACAGGACTTCGAAGTCATTCTGGAGGTCAGTATCGACATCTTCGTAACCTATGTTGTATTTAACCTTGTAATTTCAGCCCCCCCACAGAGCTCAGCAATCCATGTTCGAGCGAGAGCACTCCCATGTTGGGTCGTGCGGTTCCAGCGTTTGAAAGGTTACTTGAGGATTGGAAGCAGGTGGCCAATAGCGCCCCGCACTGTGCACCGCTCATCAACATTGGTTTGACTTGGGCGGAGAAGTATGACTGACAGGATGTCCTGCACAAATGCATATGCCGTTGCGAATGTGTGAGTCCCTCACATTTTTATAAAATTTGATGTCTTATGATCGGTTTATAGTTAGTCGATCCAACCTGCCGAATGTCATGGGCTACGGATCATTGGGATGAGGACCGGGTAAAGTCAGCAAAGGAATTCATTTTCAAACTAGTACGTCTATCTCTATCTAGCTAGCAACAGCATGCGCTCATATGTCCTTTAGATGCATATCAAGAGAGCACAGTGGACCTCCAATACACCGGCTCCAATCCAACCACCCCCAAAACTACAATCACGCACGCTAGGCTCCCGTGTCTACGGACTTCGTGAGGGGGATGCACCACCAGTTGGCGACGATATCGTCCAGACAATCGATCAGGAGTTTGCGGCTTATACCACAGCTAACATCAGCCCCAGGGGAACAAATATACTCTCCTTCTGGCAGGTGAGAGTCGTCTCCGTCAAGTGATGTATTTTGTTGTTGACCACGAGATTTTGACCAGATGTCTGAGGGGATGTTCCCAACGGTTTATGCCGTTGCTATGGACTACCTCCCAGTCCAGGCATCTGCTGTTCCTCTGTGAGCGAGTGTTCTCGTCGAGCAGCGAAACGTACACAAAGAGGCGTAACTGTATCAGCCCGATCCTCATGGAAGCCCTACAGATGGTGAAGTTCTCCTTAAAAAAGGAGCGACTTAACTTCACCAAAGGTTGGGCGGCATCACAATGGGCCATGGAAACTGGGGTGGTATCTGACAATAGCTTCGATGAGCTTTTGGGGCCTGTTTCAAGTGGACCTACAGATGACAGCAGCGCATATGACACTGTCCTCAAAGCCATTGCAGAGCAAGAGTGCGATGACATCGACGACGAGGTTGTCGTTTATGATATCTGACATGTCCTTGATCTTTCATTTTTGTTTTTCACGTTTTGTTTACCCTCATGCACCTTATGATTCTTCTTGCATTGTGTTTGCATATTGAATTTCAGTCGTTATCTGACAGTCTCCTCGTCTAGGCAATCCGGATATTCTTCAGTCCACTACTGGGTAAGATCCTTGACACATGTTGAGCTCGAGGATCGCCCTTTCTCGGCGCCAGTTTACTGACCGACGAACAATATACTCGAAATGACCGTGTCGCACTTCTTCTATGAAGACCCAAAGACACGAACTCAGATGCCACTGACCGTGTATTTAGGTGGTCTTGGTCTTCTCAGAGCTCGTTTCTATCAGGCTGCCCCCCCTGGACCGTTGACTAACATTGCCGCCTTCTCCTACCACCTTCCTGCCTCTGCCACCATACAAACCTCTGCCCCCCCTGGACTGTTGACTAACATTGTCGCCTTCTCTTACCACCTTCCTGTCTCTGCCGGCACATCGTTCCTTCTTCGTCATCGTCTTCCTGGGCTTGGTGATCTGTCCCACGGAGCATGTTTTCAGCACCTCGGAATTGGCGTCACATTCGTATAACGCTTCGCCGAACAATGTGTATACGTCGGTTCGGGGAGAGGTGTTTGATCTTACGACCGTTGCGGCGACTCATCAGCGCGTTGTTAGCATCGTGCCTGTCAAGACAATCCTTCAGACGTATGGCGGTACTTCATCAGACAAGATCTTCCCTGTTCAGGTTAGTGGGATTCATATGGACAGTTTGGTTCTTTCTTACCTGCTTTTAGGTCTCTGTGTTGTGTAATGGCGTGAGTGGCTCCGTCAGCCCTTATGTGACTCTCAGCTCTGCCAACGACACCGATCCCAATGCTTCGTATCACGACTTCCGCGCTTTCACCAATGATTCCCGTCCAGATTGGTACTTTGAGAGTATGACCATTATGCGATGGAGCAACCGCGTCGGATACATGGGTTACACGCCTGCGGAGATCAGTACCATGGCCAACTCTGGCTATTTCTGAACGTTCACGGCCGGGTAACCGTGGCAAGCGTGATTATCAGATGGTGATCATGCATTTCTTGAACAAGGTAAGCATCTTTTTCGTGGAATTGTGGGGTTGTCGTTTAACCTTGATGTGCAGGTTCACTTCAGTACGCCCATGAACCCGCTCGAACTGGAGATGTACCACCAGATCAAGAATGTGATTGGTGTCAACCCGACGTTCTTCGAGTATTTGTTTACGGTCGATGCTGATACAACAGTGGAGCCTTATTCTGTCCACCGGTTGATCTCTGCGTAAGTCAATGTTCGTTATTCCGGGAATTCCAGGTTGATGTTTGTTTTTCTGTAGGTGCATTCATGACAAGAAGGTGCTTGGGGTTTGCGGTGAGACTGAACTAGCGAACGCGAAGCAGTCGATTATCACAATGATGCAGGCAAGTTTTTAGACCTATAAAGTTGTCGGAAATTCTAATGGATGTCTAGGTCTACGAATATTTCATCTCGCATCACATGGCCAAGGCTTTCGAGAGTCTGTTCGGATCTGTTACCTGTTTACCTGGTTGTTTCACCCTATATCGTTTGCGGACTCCCAATACCCACGGGCCCCTTTTGATATCCAACCAGATGATCCAGGACTATTCGCAGAACCGCGTCGATACCCTGCACATGAAGAACTTGCTGCACCTTGGAGAAGATCGATACCTTACTACTGGCCATCCCGATCTTCTCTCTCATGCTCCCGCTCTATTCGTTCTGGCGTATGGATGACTTCTCCTGGGGTGCCACCCGTGTCGTGTTGGGTGAATCTGGCAAGAAGATGATCGTTCATGTAGGTGTTTTGTGGTCCCCGTTATTTTGATTGATACTGATGAAGTTTCTTTAGGACGAAGGCAAGTTCGATCCTCGCGCGATTCCTCTCAAGTCATGGAATGATTACGTGCGTGGTTTTAGGTCCCTTTGTAAATATATTACTGATCTGGTTTACAGGAGAACGAGCTCTGGGACAAGGAGTCGAACCACAGTATTGGCTCATGGGCTCCTCCCAATCAGTTCCACAAGGAGGGATATGCAGCATCTTCCCCGCGACCACCTACTGTACCCATCATCCACACATCCCTAGCGCACCTTCCGAGCTCATCGCCGTCGTGGAATGTATACCCAGAGGACTTGTATAGCGGAGGTGCATATGCTAACCTACTCTAGGGCGGGTACGTACTTGCTTATTCGTACTCGTGTTCTAGCGCTGACGTGATATACAACCCAGGTGCGGTATTGGCTTATAGGACCGGAGGACGGGCGGCATGTGCGTGTGTTCGTGTGCACGAGTATCATAGCGGCTAAAGGTGCGTGCAACCGACGATCGAGGTAGAACATGTAACTGATGAACCCGCTTCTTTCATTACCACCCGCAACTATCCCCCTATCCCCCATACCCTTCGATGCCCTTCGCAATCTCTCAAATGCCTCCACCCAACGCCGCTGACTCCTGCCGTTCGCGACCAAACACCCTCACCATCCAACCCCGCCACCTCGTTCTCCAACCCTCTCGTCCTCTTTCACCTCCTCGCTGCTTTAATTTGCAGCGTTTCTTCGTCACGGATGGCTTGTGTAGCTGCCGTGGGGGAGAAACGCAGCACAGTTCCTACTTTAGTTGAGTTTTTCATCAAACATTAATGAAATAATGACATACTTGGTCTTGGGGGGCCATTAGCGCCCATGTGATTATCGATCGTGCGTTGGTAGTAGTTAGATCTTCGATAATTGTAAATGTAATCTATTTTTGATCAATGTGTAATCATAAAATTAAAAATATAAAAATATAAGATTCTAATTTTAAATCAGCTGGCTTGAAGCCGGCTCGGAGACAGTAAGCGCGCTTTATTAACTGGGCCAGGCCATGAATTATGTAAGCCATAACTAATCACACGGCTTGGCTAATTACAGCTCCGCCCATGGCTAAAGCCGGACAGAAGCCGGACCCACGGCAACACTATTATGATCGACATCTCACGAACCTCAAAAAATTTCATGATCGAACGAAGGATCATGGGATACTCAATAGTATCCTGACGGAACTCAACAACAATGGCAGGTAAGTACATCTCAAGGATTTGAACTTCAAAGTTTGACAATCATACAACAGGTTGCATGCAAAGGCAGGCTCCTTCCCACCGCTTGTTCGAGTGTGGAGGGGCAACCTGATAGATACAAAACGTACTAAGACCAACTCATCACATGCTACAACAAAAATTCAAACCCAGCCCAACCTTAATTCCCCTCACACTCTCACCAGCGGCTGGAAGAAAACAATTGTCAATATCGTCAGCCACCATGTATAATGTAGCGGAATGTCAATTTTATGCGCTAAGACTGAACGTAGGGTTACATACACTGCAATATATATCGAGTATTTTCAAAGGTTGCATCGTTGCCGGTTAATGATGATAGGCGATAGCAACCATCAGATGCCCGCACATGCGCCTTCTCCTAATCAAGATTCTTCTGGCCGTCAGCAGATACCATCATTCGCAGACATTCAATCATGCACTCTCGAGAAATTTGGCATCAAGCCCTGTTTATGGCAGGTCAAAGTTGCCCAGGCTTTGCTCAAAGGGGACCGGGATGTCATTTGCACGGCAGGCACAGGGATGGGTACAACACTTGGGTTCTGGTTGCCTTTGCTGTTCTGTGACGGCGGTATTCAAATAATTGTGACCCCTCTGAATATGCTAGGCAAGCAAAATGCAGCGTCACTGGCCAAGGCTGGCATACGAGGAATATCCATTGATGGCAAGACCGCTACACACGCGAATTTCTTGGTGAGTGCTGAGCTATACTGCAAGTATCAATATCATCTCACCTATCAATCACACAGTCCATCACGGCGCTGAAGTATCGTGCGATCGCCGTCAGCCCCGAGCAGATCATGAAACCAGATGGTCCCTTTGAGAAGCTGCTAAAAAATGCGCTGTTTGCTTCATGGCTCATTAGCATTATAATCGACGAGTCACACTGTCTTACCGATTGGGGAGAGTTTCGTCCTGAATACAAAGAACTTGGACGACTTCGATACATTCTGCCATCAATGGTACCCATCATGCTCGCGTCGGCGACACTCACAAAACACTCACTTTCAAATGCGATCCGACTTTTGCACATGCACGCCGACAAGTTGACCTTCATCCGTCGTTCAACGGACCGTCCAAACATCAAGATCGGGGTAAGGAAAATTAAGTACGCACTTAATAGTTACGCGGACCTTGCGTTCTTGATCCCAGAAGGCTGGAATGCCGGCGATCCGCCCCCGCCAAAATTTCTCATCTTTTTCGATGACATCCAGGATGCCATCAATTCAGCGCGGTACCTTCGCAAGCGTCTACCAGTCGAGTGCAGCAACAAGATTAAATGGTTCAATTCTGATATGACAAGCACTTACAAAGAAAAGGAACTTGACAACCTCGTATCCAGTGAAACGTGGGGACTCTGTACGACTGATTCATTCGGGATGGTGAGACTCGACATTATCCAGCACAAATATTCACTCACCTCCTGCAGGGCATGGACGTTCCCAATATTCAGCTTGTAATACAATGGTGAGCAACTTGCAAACTTACAACATTGTGGCAGCGTTTCGGACGAGCAGCGCGCAACAAGAATCAGTTAGGGACCGCCTCACTGTTTGCGGAGAAAGAGCACTTCGACAACGAGCGACATGCGAAATCTATCAGAAAGGCACAGCGCGAAAACACTCGTAAACGGAAAGCCGTTGACTCACCAGCCATGCTACACCCTGCCAAGCGCCATGCTGCGATTCTATCAGATCCTGGGGGTCCTTCTATTAGTACTGTTGTGACTTCGCACGATGGGAACAATGAACGGCTCGGAGATGAATCTGATGGGGATAAATCAGATGACAATGAACCCGATGGAAACACGCTGGTAGCTGGGAGTGTGCAGGAATTGAAAGGAGCAATGGCGAGTGTAGAACAGGCAAGGAAAAATATTGGACGGCCTGAAAAGCGGAAGAAGAGATAATTGGATCCAGGCGTGGACTATCTAATCAATGCCGACCAACGTAAGGGTTTTAGGTGTAGAAGGAAGGTGTTTGATGTTTGCTTTGATAATGACATGGCTGGTGGGAAAGTTCTGTTTCTGATTGTGTTAGGGTGCTCATCTTTCACGCGCAGACTCTGACTACCTTGAGTGCGACCCTACGAATCCAATGGGCTGCTCTCGTTGTCGTATTGAAACACCCGTCATTTGTTGTGACATCCATCACTCCAATGACTTCTCAGCATACTCCTCGCATATCAACAAACCACCCGCTTTACCCCAGTGCTGACGGATCCCAAAGTTCAACAGGGAAGCACACAACAATATCCTACAGGATGCGCTGGATGATTGGCGTAAGCAGAAGACTATATCTACATACGGAGGCGCTCATCTCAATGACCTCGGCCCATCTCTCATCATGCCCAACGCGACACTTGACAGAATAATCGACTGCGCACATTTCTACAAGTTGAACAGCATGCACGACTTGAAGAAGGAGACGGGCTGGACAGATGCTGACAAGTTCGGTGCTGAGGTTGTTGTGCTTGTTCAAAGGCACGCACTGCCCATCACAAACCCTTTTGCGAGGACACCTCTAAGGCCCCATGTATCCAGTCATGTGAACGTTCCATCACCATGACACAGTGATCTACCATCCCCTTGTCCAGCACCAACCAAGCGCAAGATTAGGTGCGGTGCCTGTCATCAAGAGGGACACAATGGTACATCACTTATTTCATTTGTTGGAGAGCTGAAATAATTTGTGTACCCTTAGCACGCAATCTGGCTTGCGCACAACATCCTTCTCGTATAAGCAAGAACAAGGAAATGTAAGTATATATCCCACTGACAGTTGAGTTGTTGATATCCATCGCACATGTCGCAATGATTGGTGTTTTGACTAGGGGGATTTGTTCCACGTCTTCTGGCTCTTGTATTTCTGAGCGGAAGCGATGGAAGTACTCAGGGCCATGGGTGCATAGGTCCGTCAAGAACATCCATGAATTAAATTTGTCGCGTCGGGTGAGGTTTGAGTTGGGTGTTGTGTGTGGCTGCGGGTGAATGAACAAAAGGTCCCTCCATGTTTTCCGTGCAGGTAAGTCATTGTCCCTTGCATAGATGTTCAAATTTGACTTCACCCAGAGCTCTTCCGAACATTTCAGGTCATCAATAGTGACCCCATGCTGTAGCGGAAACATCAAACCGGAGGTAAGATGTTTCAGCGACTCGTTGGACTTCTCGGCTGACGGAACATGTGTTTTGATGTCAACGTCGAAATTGTCGTAAGCATATGATGCGAGAAGAGATCGCCCGAGATCACGCATAGTGTTTTGTGACTCGATTGATAACGACTTGATTGCGGAGTGGATTGAATCCGTTGATATCGAGATACCAATCCGTGTGAGGGTGTCGACAACGTGCTGCGGTGTGTGCATGGACTGCAAGAATATACCAAGTATACTTTGCAGTGCGTTGGATTTGTGGTTGGTGCTTTGCATCATAATACTGAGAATGACAACTTTTTTCTAGCGTGATTAATAGGTACGTGTTTAATTCGATGAGAGCCGACAGTTATACTTACAATGCTGATAATCGCAGCGCTACGCAGCTCACGTCGGTCTGCTTTGAGCCCCGTCGAACCGTTTTCAGAGGTGAGTCCATTGATAAACCCCTCGAGATCTATTGCTTCCACCTGATCCCAGTAACTGTCATCAATGGACATTGGCACATCGTCCCCTTTCTCATTTACTATCAGCGGCACCTTTCGATCTTCACCAAGTAACCCCCCCCAGCAAGTTCCACAATGCAGGTGCGCTAGTTTCCATCTCTCGGGCCATCTCCTCAATGCTGAAGTCCTCCAGCTGCTTTGTAGTTGTACTCGATGCACCAAAATGCCATCCTGCACGCTCAGATGACATTTCCCGTATGTTGGTGATGTATTGTTCATGAACGAGCTGACGCACAGAGTTTTCGAATGTGTCTTCCTTTGAAGGATGCCGCAGAAATGCTGCGAGTATATCGGGCGAGTGCGCTACTAAATCTCGCACAATATGATGATTATTGTACTGTCGGCTAGTGAGTAATGAGAGGATAAACTGGGATGGTGCGATGCTATCTCTTTCCAAGACGTTGGTGATTTCTTCTACTGCGCGCTGCATTGACATGATATGAGATAACCGGTAATGAAATACTCGATATATATTGCATTGTGTCTAACCCTACGTTCAGTCTTAGCACTTAAAATTGACATCCCGCTACGTTATACATTGTGGCTGATGCTATTGACAAATGTTTTCTTCCAGCCGCTAGTGAGAGTGTGAGGGGAATTAAAGTTGGGCTGGGTTCGAAATTTGCTGGTGCACGTGACTCTCTATTTTATCTGCCTCATTTGCAGGTCGCCCCTCCACACTCGAACGAAGCGGTGGGAAGGAGCCTGATGCAAAGGTGGATCCGATCAATGTTGGAGATGAAGAGTGTTTGTCCGACGACGAGATCAACAAAGCGATCCGTGAATATCAACAGGTTGGCGGTGCTGAGGCCAGTGACAAGGTGGAGTCTGGCTTGGAGTCTGAGGGTGTTGATGGCGAGGCCGAGTAGAATTGACCACTGTATTAAACCGTGAATGCATGCCATTGATCTCCCTGCTATTTGCAAGTGCGCAAGCCTGAGTGCTAGTAGTATGATGTACCATGAGATGTACTTACCACAATGACTTACTATAGATCACTACATAGCCGCACTACATTGCCAAGGTACGAGATACCAGACACTATATTGTGCAACTGAAAATATATCCTAGGCTACATGGTACAATATTGGGGGGGGGAGATGCAACCAGGCTATAACACCTGTACCTGTAGGATTGATGTATTACTACCTACAACTACAAGTGATTCGGGATACAATAATCACTGAGGACTACAGATGTGTGATATAACACTGTACTGTAGACTATAGTTCCCTATAACCCTACTACATTGCCTACTACATTGCTTAGCTGTGTTCGTGTATAGTAGTGTTATATGTTCCCCTTCGTTCCCTACCGATGAGATCACGAGATTAATGAGATCGCAAGATCCATCTGAGATCATCACACCAAAGCCAACGATGACACACTGACTCGTTCAAAGTTCTTGTGCCTAACACCAAAGCTAATAATGGACACACTGAGTCGTTCAAAATTCTTGTGCCTATTCTACCTAGTACATTGCTACTGCTACTCTTCAAAGTCCATGACCATAGGAGGCGCATCGATCGAAGGACCACTGTCATCGTTACAAACATCCACTGACTCCGAAACCACGGCGAGTTGAGGAACGAAGCTCCAACGAGCTTGGAATGAGTTCCACATCGCAAAACGGAGGGCAGCTTGACGGTACGCATACGCGCGCAAACCCTCTTGCTCAGTGATCTTCTCCGATGGGCACAGAACAGCATGCTCATGCCACCAGTGGCCTTGCCACTCCAGAAAGGCAAGCACTTGTCGCATTTCTTCGGCTAGTAACTCCACTTCCTCAGACCATCGAGCTGCACGAGCGCGTGTCTTACACCACTCTATGCGGACGCCTAAATCAAACTAAGTCAGAGATCATGTCACCCAGTTGAAACACTTACAGTCTTGAACACGCTCGTTCTCAGAGTGACCAGTAGTATCTCCATCTGATACCAGCCAGATCCATGATATTGTTCCGGTACCCTGAGTACGGCCACCTGCAAAATCACCCATGGGTCGAACATCCTCGTGTCTGAGAGGTCGAAGTTTTTCCTCCCAGGCGACCTTATCCACACGAGAGCTTAGCAACTCCAGTGCTTGGCGTGCGCGTTTGTATTTGTCCGCTGCTGCATCTTTCTTTGCCTCGACACTTGCAATCAAATTCTGGGCATGGGTGGATGCTGCTTGGCCACGTAAGTGCTTGTCCTTGAATTTGTACATGTGTGAGCGTAGACGAAGATGGGAGCGGAGTTCGTGGAGCGCATCATGAGCTTGTGCCCACCGAAGTTCCCACTCGTACTCCATCAAACGGCGATGGCACTGGTTGAAATAGCTGAGAGCCGATGGAAGATATAGTGGGAAGTCTTGAGGCTTGAGTGCTGCACTCGAACTTGTGTCAGCTGATGAACGTAGCGTTGAGACGATGGGCATGTAAAGTTGTTGATAATGCGTCCAAGAATCAATACGTCTCTGTAACGCATTAGTCCTGTGAACAATGGCCTCTCGTTGTTTGTCTGTGGGATGAAGTGAGAGGTTTGCAATGTCGTGTTTGAGCCGTTGTCTGTCATAACATGTGAACGGTGAACGTGATGCGAAGAGACACTTCACATACTGCATGTCTTCTAATTCAATACCACCGCTGACAAGCACACTGGGCGAGACATCGACGTCGAGTGAGTGATTGATCCCTTCCTGCAACTCTTTTGCTTCCAATTCTGCGAGCTGCGACCTTACCGCAGTCTGCGTGATAGCTAGATATTTACCCATCAGCACAAGTTGACAGAATGAATGGGCAGTGACTTACGAGCTACCTTACTCTCGAAAGGGTTTGGATGAGCGTTGTCCTCCTCCCATAGCTGAACTTCTAACCCCCATTCTTCCAGCAGTGTAGGCCGAACAGTTGCTTCCAGGTCGTACAACACAGCACGATGTTCCCGCTCCCATTTTATGGCCTCTTCCATCTTGCGCTTCAATGTACAACCTTCGAAGTATCAGCCAGGAAGATAATGATAATTATGCGGGGAACTCACCGAGCGTCATTGTCTTCTTCCAATTCCAATCGCCAAAGTGATCATCCAATGTATCACGTTGTGTTCCTGGCCCCATCTCCTTCGTGCTCGATGCAATGTGATTGGTGTTTGCCCAACCTCGTTCTGGCGCCTCCCCGTCTGTCCTACCCACCCACTTAGTGAGGTTCCACGAGAAATTGACCTGACAGGCTGCGACATGGGCTGCAATGTGAAATTTTGGCACAAAGTACCGAACAAAGATGTTGTCATGTGGTATATGAAGGCGAGTCGGCATGCAATCCATTCTGTTCCACAGCTTTTTGGACCACTGACATGTGATATCGTACAAAATATTCAGCATGGTCACGGTGAACCCGACCAGCGTTGAGAATACAAGGTAATCCATATTCAGGTACCTTATAACTCTGTCAACTAGCTGAGTAGAAAAATGCGGCAAACATACCTTTCGCCCTTCTGAAGATCGCCTACCCCGTTCAGCAACTTGAATTCATGTCGAGCGCAGTCGACAGTTCCTATGCCGGTTGCTGCCAGGCCTCGTGAGGATTTGGTATCAGCCATGTTGACAGCGTTATGGCTGACACATGTGCTGCACTAGTGGAACAGTAAGTGCATCGCCCTACATATTAGAGTATGTACAACATACATCTTGTCTTTTGTTAGCTCGCTCCGATAAATAGGCCTTGTATGCTTTCTCCTCAACAAAGTAGGCCCATCCCGCGTTGAAGCCCGGATCCATTTTGTCGGAGGAGACAGCCTTCCGTTTGAGACAGAAATTCGCATCTATAGCGATGAAAAGGGCGTACAACCATCTGTCAACCAGGGTGAGCTAAATATCCTCACCCAACCATCAATCCAGACTTACCTCGTTCCTGGGGGCGAATTCTCCCAACCACTGGGTAAGTTTTTACCTGGATGTGGGCACACCGGGCACATCACCGCAAGCTCGCCAGCTTTTTTTTCTGCAATGCCACCAGGGTCGTGACCTCGCCCACCGCGCCTGAGTTGTCGAAGGTGCCGCCATTCGTGGACAATCCACATAATTGCAGAATAATGATCCTGCACGGCCCAAGTTTGAGTACCATTATGTTAGCATTTAAATTTGAGACTTACCCTGATGGGTGACAATCCACTATTGTCAGTGCGCCTGGCTAAACCATGGAAAAATTCGTAGGCAGAAATTTTAGACTTGTATGAGAGAAGGTGGAAGTGTTCGAGCACGTTGAATGTAGCACCTGTTTGTGGGTCTGTCGTAGTTGCTGGATACCATCGCGCTCGTAATAACTGTTTGTAGCGGACTTGTGCAGTCTCGCAGCCACAAAAATCTAATCCAATTTCATGGATTCCGTTATTGTCGATGACGACAAAATCATCCCCCTTTGAGGGATGTGGGTTGTAACAGCGGTCACTGGGAGTATGGCCCAGTTGTACGCGCAAACCGAGGGTCTTGAGTTTGACACGTTGAAAAAATGAACCGTTCCACTCCTGTGTAGGGTTGGTACCATACAGATTGTATATCTAGGCAACACATACCTCAATGATATGCAACGGGCTGCATCGATGTTGGTTGACAACACAATACTGACAGGACATCTCCATCCCAAAGCAGTCCCTACAGCGGTACTTGGGTTCATCATTGCCACAGCGGCAGTGCGTTCGCTGGGCTTCATGACCACGGCCCTCCAAGAAGATGGTTTCATCAAGGAAGGATTGACGTTGGGGGAGCCAGACCAGGAGTGGATTATCCTACAAAAATTTGTGAGTATACTACAGAACATTCATATTCCTACACATCACTTACTGCGGGATGCTCTTTGCGCTTATCTGGAAGAATGTCTGGAGGATCATAACATGGAGGAACTTCGTCCCAATCATCATAGTTTGGCTGGTCCTGAATGGTATGCGGTACACATAGTGAACCACTGGAAGACGGCTCACTCTCGAGTGTGGCCTCGAGTGAAAGATAAGCTGTTTGTAGAGTAGTACGCCCATCAGTGAATGCATATTCCCGTATTTGCTGGACAGCTGGTGTCGACGTGAAGGATGGTTGAACGAAACGCTCAAATCGCAACTTGGGTTTCTTGCGCACCATGGCAGGGTACGATGGCAGCCTAGTGTAGAAAATTTCAACATGGCGAATCATTCTGAAAGTTACATGTAAGGCTTCCTCAACTTCGAATAGACCACACCACTTACTTTGTACCACAGTAACCATACCATGAACACGCTGCATCAACAGTATTGATTCCAGTAAGTTGACAAGATACCATTATTGCGGGTGCCATTCTCTGGCCCAAACAGTTTGAGAGGGCGTGTTGGATGATGGGGCGAGTTCCAGCAAATGAGGATGGTATGGAGTATGGAGTTGTACCTTCAGCGCCTGTATAAAAAGCCACGCATGATCCGTGAGGTTTGAGGCTGTGCCATTGAGCACCGTGTTTTTAATTTTATGAAGTTGTGACAGTATGGAGCATGGAGGTGTACCTTCAGCACTTTTAGCAAAAGCCACGCATGACGCATCTTATGGTGTTTCAACTGAGATAACAGAGAAGCAAATGTTTTTTATACTACACAAGTAAAAATTGAACTCGCAGACTCGCAGTAGATACATCAAATCCTGGTGCCTTTCTGGTACATTAACTCCCCCATAGAGTGAGCAAGTGTGAGGTCAGGAATTCCTCCAAAAAGCACCAGAAATTGGATGTCCTCCAGATACGCGAGGACAGTCCTCAAGAAACGGCTGACAGAATCTGCGGCATGCCATTCAGGCGAGACTCCACAAAAATTAAGGATTTGGTCTTGCGCGGCAATAATATGATTGAGTAATTTTTGGACGTCGGCCATTGGCGTTTCGATGATGGAGATGTCGGCTTTGGTAGATGAGTCGTCTGGCATATTCTTAATGTAGGCACATAAGATGCCATGGACGAAAGTGCAGGGGTCGTTGATCTTTGCCAACATCTCATCCTTGATCTCTTTGACGATGTGTAAGCATTCAGGAAGGTTATCTCTGTTGAACGTGTTTGATTTCATTTTAGACTATTTATAATATAAAGAACATACGGTTGACTTTCGTCATCGTCCGAGTCCTGGGAATCCTCGCTGCCAGTGTTAGACTCAGACTCATCTTCATCACGATGCAGGGCTTTTGCAACAGCCTTTGACAGGTCTCTTGAGAATTTTCTGGCTTCTCGTGATTCCTTGCTGTTAGAGCTCCGTAGCTCTCTGCAGTTCTTCAAAATCCTGTCTCTGTTTCTTCACCACGATCGGTCAGGAACTGTCGGGAACATTTCATTAATTTAAAGTATGACATACCTAGCATAATAGCTCCTACGCTTTTCATGTGCAGCTGCTAATTTTGCCTCAGGTGTTTTATGAATGATCGGACGGGGCATGTTGACTAGTAGAGACTTGGTAGTAGTAGTAGTAGTAGTGGTCTTGGTTGAAAAAGAAGCAAAGAACCTTTGAAACCAAGACTCGGAGTCCAATGGTAGGACCAAAACTTCAAGTTGTACATATGAATATCAACAATATCCACTAGGCTAGTGGTCATTTGCAGCAACTAAATATTCCTGTTCTGTAGGTAGAAGGGTGAACATATTCAATAAGTGTTTTTGGGCTGCAGGCGCACTTGCTATTCCAACAATAAATTTATCCTACCGCCATATCTACTGAATCAGTCCCTCATATTGTGGTCGGACCAAAACCATTCACGTGGTTCCATACACTCGAATCGAAATTTTCATTCTACATTACTCGTATACGCTACAAAAAGCCCCACTCCAACGTCAACCTCACTAATGGCACCAACGAGTAAATATTCAGCCAAGCAGATCGAGTTCATGGCGACATACCATGATCAATTCTTAGAGTGCAAATCAAACAAAAATTACGAACCTTTCTGGAGCCCATTTTTTGAGGCATGGGGAATCAAGTTCCCAGAGCGTGCTGTAGTCTTCAACAACATTCCGCTTGATGTCGATTTAACCGACGAACAATCTGCTGAAGTGGCAACCGCATGGGCATTGCGTCAACAGGTACGTATAGACTTACCCAACAATGTGTTGCTCGACTAACAACACATTAACAGCGCCTTATGCAGAAGTTCCGTAATGATCTGGGCGGCTCCAAAGCAGGTCGGCGGGCTAATGCGCAGAGTACGGCCACAATCAACAAGATGCTGATGAATGTCTCGATGAGTTCGAAGGCGAAAAAATCTTCTCGCATTTTGAAACCGTATGAGATGTACTCAAAAATGCACTACGGAAAAATCAAGGATGCTGTCAAAAAAGAGCAAGAAGAACTCAAAAACTTACCGTCTGCTGCACCACCCAAGAAGACCAGTATTGGTGTCGTCAAGCAACATCTTAGAGAGGCCTTCAGCACTGAGTCTGAAGAAGTTAAGGCAGAGGTGCTTGCTGCTGTTGAGGCAACTTGAATGAAAGATAAGAAGCATGTGGAAATAGAGGAAATGAAGAAACGAACTCACAATAAGGATGTGTAAGTCATTTTCTTCATCTCCGCAAACCGTTGTTCCCTTACATATAGCATGCCTAGCTATACATCCAAAATCGCGACAATTCTGACGCAATTCTTCGAAGAATTACATGAGATGACGGATTGGGCATTCACAGTCCTCATGGGCGGGCCACAGCCTAATATGGGTGGGACACTTGATGTTAGTAGCTTCCACATTGGAAAAACGCAAATGGGCAACCGGTTCAGTCAAGCCTACCCACATTTTTCACAAAATATCATGGTGCCTTACACGCAGTTTGTTGAACGCGTTTTTCGTAAGTCGGAGCTCATACACCACGCAGAATACCACTAAACACCTCTTCAATTCAACAGCCGAGGCAGCTGCGCTGTCGAGAACAAAAGGCTTGCTGCCTGGTTCTACTACGTCATCCACTCTGGCTATCACCCCTGGACCCTCATCCGCTCCTCATATAGTAGCCTCTGATACATCACCACCTATCCCTTCAAACACCGCAGTTTCAACTTCCGGATCCGATCTGTTGCTTGCATCGGAGCTTCTCTCTCTCCCTCAAGGCAACAATGCCTTTCATTTCTTCTCTGACGCTGATTTATCCCTGTCGCCAATGGATGACAACTCTTCACTTCCCACTCTTCCCACTCTTCCCACTCCTCACCCAGCCCCATCTTTCCATTGCTCTGCAATCTCGTTCCGCGAACGGAGTGTTCATTTCACAAGGTTGCACTGGGTTTCTATGTGCAATCTCCCCACCAAATACTCCTCCATCCGAGTGCTACCAAAGCAGTCACGCCCATCATCAGGAAAAACGGGAACTCCAATATAGCGCTACAGAGGCTATGTAGCACTTATAGCCAGGCCATACTGTAAGAATAATACATTAAATGACTACTATAGTAGGTCAAGCCAGATACAATAATCACTGAGACCCATAGGGTATCTACCATTGTAGGGCTGATACATTAGTGGAGGATTCCTGGTCCGGCACTCAATCCACGGTTCTCTGGACCTGGTACCTGGCCTTCGTTTGATGGCATCGCGCTTCTTCAGGCTTCTTCAGGCTTCTGCTTGATAGCTGGGCCTGGATCGTGAGATTCTTTTGATGGATGAGTCCGATCGGTAGGTTGTGTGATCTGCGTTTGCTGAATTTGGCCCAAGATATCAAAATTTCTCTAAGTCCCGCAAAGGAGTCTATCCAAAGATGATATTACTTGGCGTCGAAGCCGATCGGTAGGTTGTGTGATCTGCGTTTGCTGAATTTGGCCCAAGATATCAAAATTCCTCTAAGTCCCGCAAAGCAGTCTACCCAAGGATGATATTACTTGGTGTCGAAGGTTTGCGCTAGTGCGTAAGTTCAACAGCACGTTGAAATTGCTTTTAAGCCATTGTTAGCTACCCTTGTCACCCGATCACACATGTTTTAAGACATTAAATCAATTTATTGTGGTATACTAAACAGATCATCGTTGAGCAACATGATGCGTAAGATGTATGCTAAACTAGGTGAATTACAAGAATGATGGAGACACTACTCATTTACGCGCAGCCTTCCGACTCACGAATGGTCCACCGATGTTGTTAGCTTCTGCGGCACGCTTGGATTGAACTCGTTGACGTTTACCTCGACCATCTTGAAGATTCGCGGGCATGGTTTCACTAGCGGTGCGGTGTCTGGTGCCATCCTTAGCCTTCTGGCATTTTGTGGGGACATACGACTGCTCCCCTTCACATGGTTCGCATCCACGCTTCTCACCACCAGTACTGGCTGGGGCGTTACTGGCTGGGGCGATGGGTGAAGCCTCTGCGGCGGGCGGGGATTGATTGAGACGCGGGGCAATGGGTGAAGCTTCTGCAGCAGGCGGGGATTGATTGAGACGTGGGGCAATAGGTGAAGCCTCTACAGTGGGTGGGGATTGATTGAAACGCGCACAAGAAGGATATCCACCCACAAAAGAAAGCGCTTGGGTGGGTGTAAATATGAAGGTGGGCTCAGTTGGGTAATAAAGATTGGGCTGCGCTACCGGGTTGGGGTTGAAGGCATCGCCAGCGCCAGTTAGACTTGGAACTGGCACATTTGGGAGTTGATAATGTTCGAGCACGTGTTCATGAGACGGTGAGTCCTGCAAAAACTCCCTCAAACTGTACATCGTGTCGTGAGGTTGTGGGAGGATGGGAAGATTGGGAAGTGATGAGGTGCCATCCATTGGCGACCGGGTGTCGTGAGGTTGCGGGAGGATGGGAGGAGTGGGAAGAGTGGGAAGAGTGGGAAGTGAAGAGTTGTCACTCTTTGCGTATTACCAGCTATTTCATAGGTTCGTGAAGAGCAGTCAGATTTAGGCGCTGATGTCTCGATCTGACCTTGATTGTGGTTTTCCAGTTGCTGCTGCTGTTGTAGTAGCATCAGGAAAACAACAACTTGCTTATATCACTTTTTTGTCACTTTATTTCGTAATAAGTGAATGATAAGTCATGGAGAGAAAAAGTGCGGGCCGCTTAATAAAGCCCACTCAATATCTGGGATTTCGCTTTTTTTCACTCTTTTCTCACTTAAAAAAAGCAAATAAAAAGGCACAAGCCTGTCATTAAAAGGGGAGCACACACGTAGAAAGCGTAAAAAGTGTATATTAAGTAAACTCCAAGAAATGAAAAGATGGGGGGAGCCGGCTGGGTGTAGGGGGGGAGGATGGGCAAAAAACGGCAGTGGCATAGATGATGATGGCGACGGATATGTACTGTAAGACAGCGGAGATGACGGTACAACTAATTGAAGACAAATTCTGCAGTGATACATGATGTTAGCGGGATGGAATCCGGGTGAATAAAACTTACAAATCATGGCGCGCTCGTCCTCGTCCTCGTCGCACTCGATGAATGAGCCCGGTGTTTCGATGACGTCCTGTAATGCAGTGAGTGCCATCTTGACCGTGGCCTCTACATAGCCAGTGGGCTTGCTAAGAATTGACTTGATGTAGGAGTTGGTGGCTTTGGACCAGCGAGCCGCTGAAAATAAGAATGGCGCGTTGGTCTTCTTCCCCGTAGCCTTGTTGAGAACCTTTGGTAGCTTGATTGTGAATTTTCCTCGCGACGCCGACAGCAGGATATCTTGAACCTTGAGTTCCTTGCGTGCGATCATTCCGAGAGCGCGCTCGAGCTGGAAAAAAATGAGTTTGATTAAGCCGTTTGAAACTAAACTTACCGCCGCCGCAGATAGAGCAAGAACGCGTGACATCCCCATCGTGTCAAGTGCTTGCATGTCGAGGGAGGGAATCACCACATGACCGCTGATGGCGTTGAGGTGTGCTCTACCATACAGCTGTAGTATAAATGGCGAACGGTAAGCTGTGAGGGGATTGATATTGTCAGGGTCCTCGTATAAGAATGCCCAGCTGGCGAGAAGGGAGGACGCGAGTGTGCTTGAATCGCAGTCAGAATTGCGTGCCAAGAAGTCGATGATTATAACGATGCCCGTTGAACCGAAGTTACTGCGCCATTCTGATATGCGCTGAGCAGTCTAATTAAAGATGTAACATTAGTTAAAGCTAGATGTAAAACAACGGACTTACAAGTAGATGTATCACACCGCCGTGAACTATAACAATCTTGAGTTCAGGATAGACCACATCGAAAACAAGCTGGACGTGATGGAGGAGAACGTCGTCCGGAATGCTCCAAATGTCGTCATAACTACCGGCCCACATCATTATGGTAGGAATGAATTTTTTCGTCCAGCGCTGGTCTGCTTGCATAGCTGGAGGCAAGTCGGATGTGCGATACGCGCCGCGTGATTTCATGTGCTCTGGTGCAGTATCCACGTTCTGCCTGCGTTTTTTAGCAGGAGCCTGAGCGCCATGGGCAAGTGTGGTGCCAGAAAATTCAACCTTGACCTTCTTAGCAGCAGGTGGCTTGTTGTCGTCAGTGGTGGTGGTCGCAGATGTCTGCACAAATGTCAGAATGAACACTATAGAGTTTTTGAGGCTTACCGAAGTCGTCAAACGCTGCTTTTTCTCCTTCTTAACTACAATAGGTTCGGGCTCTGGTTCGCTGTCATAGTCCTCAATCAAGTCGTCAGAAAGTTCCACCACGTCATCGCGGTCGATATCCATGGACCAATGGGACTCGGCGTCACTGTCTAAGACAGAATCTGCACTCGCTTTCCTCTTGAGGGGCGATGTGGCCATGTGATCGTGGACCTGCTGTGTGAAGGGAGCCATAACCTCATCGTCCGAGTCGAATACGATTGGTGGTATTTGCGTGAACGGAGCCTTGGGCCCTTCGAAGTCCGAGTCCTCTTCAAAAATTGAGGCTACCTAAGCAAATAGTTAGCGGACTGGACCAATTGATCACGATCACGGTCACGATCACGATCACTTACCTTAGATTTCCCCTTATTTTGCTTGCTTTCCAGGCAAGCAGCCTCACGCTCCAAGGAATCGTCGATCTCATCTGCAAAGCTACCAGTAAGGACATCATCTTCTGGGATGCCATCAGCAATTTTAGCTGGGGCTGCGGGAACCTGAATCTGAGGCTGAGCAGCCGAAGTTGCCGCAGAGGAAGCAGCATCATCCGAGAAAATTGATGTTGGAGGTGCCCGAGTTGAAGCGCTGGATTGGCGGGATGTTGGCTCTGATTTTCCCGGCCTGACTCCTGAGACCCAATTGGTCACTCGCCCACCTAACGCGAATTTGTGAGTGGCCGCATTGATGCTAGAAGTAAGATTGAGGAAATAAAGAGTTGATTCAGTGAGGAGCAACATTGTGATACGGTGGGAGAACTTAGTCGTACGTTGATGGCGTGGAGCCTTTTCCATCAACACGTGCCTTATCGATATCGTTGGCGTTATCACCTTCCGCATTCAATGATGATTCGCTGATCTTCTTTTGCACGTTACTGATAGCATCTCTGATCAACGTCTTTCCACTCTTCTTTCCAGCCTTCTTCCCTTTGCCCGAGGTTCCATGGTCCGCAGCCTCAGTAGCATCCTCTGCCACATCATCCTCTGGTGCGTCATCTAATGTACCGTTAGTGTCGTCACCACTCTTTACAGCACACTTTCGAGCCTTTCGAGCCTTTGGCTTGGGCCGAATGGGAGCCGCCTTGTTGGTGAGTAGTTCCTTTTGTACCTTCTCCATCTCAACCTGCATATTAGCCAGGCGCTCAACTCCCTTTTGCACCAGTGCTTCTTTAGCTTCTCTTGCTTCTTTGATGGCAAGATCATCAGCGGCCTTCTGTGCCTTGGTGCGCCTCTTGGTCTGCGCATCAAGCACTATTTTGCCAGGTCGGGCCATTGCATTTGATGCACGGGTGCGGCGGGAAGCTTCTGTGGTGGACATTGTGACTAGGCAGAGGGACTTGGGGATGAGGGACGGTACTTTTTCTGGAGCAAGAAGGAAGGGATAGAAGTTGGTTGAAAAAACTCGTAAGTCTCACCCCCAACAGGCGCCGCCTGTGGCGCTCGCTCACTAATCGGGATCTGTTGCAACATCTCTTATTTGAACTTACTTTTAGTATTACACACCCCCAGCGCCTCTCTACCAGCAATCATTGTGCTCGCCTTGTTGATTTTACAGCTGGGATGTCTCAGCGCACTCGTAGGGACCACAACGCACTTCAAATTCCATGCGGCTACTTACACTGTGCTCGCTACTTCAAGACTCAGGGAGGGCGCAAAAAACACTGGAACGTTTCCCACCCAACGTTCAGACAGGCCGCCGTCTCGCAAGATGAGTTCGAAATACCGGTCAACGATGTCCCTGCAGGTGACAACAACCCTCCTGCAGGTGATGATGGCCTTCCGGCGGATTCTTTTGATCCGGGTCAGGCTTTCAACGAGCCTGACAATTCAGTTGACGCAGACACGGTATTTTTCGGGCCAGGTGATAGGCTATACCGCAACTATCACCCCAAATTAAACGGTATGTTTTTTTAGAATTTTCAATCATGTTGAAACTAACAAGGATTGACATAAGCACATCCATGTGATGCAACAGGACACTTCCTTGAAGATGGAGTACCTCCAGCGCCACCTCCAGACAAGTCACCTGACGACTGGACTCCATACCGGGATCGCGTCGAGTTCGAGACTGCGGAGTTCCTGTACACGCGCAACCAAATGTCCGCCGGGGACATCAACATTTTGCTGGATCTTTGGGCCGCAACCCTCCTCAAACACAACGACAAGCCGCCGTTTGCAGACTGCCGCGACTTGCATAGAACTATCGACAGTACACCACTAGGCGACGTCAAATGGCAATCATTTAAGGTACGGTACACTGGGGAGAAGCCAACAGATGCTGTACCACCCTGGATGGATCAGTCCCATGATGTGTGGTACCGCGACCCCCACGAGGTGATACGGAACATGCTGGGGAATCCAGACTACGAAAAGGAGATGGATTACCGTCCTTTTCGCGAGTACTCGGCTGACAGCGACAAACGACAATGGCAGGACTTTATGTCCGGTGACTGGGCCTGGACCCACGCGGTATGTTTTCTTTCGTTGTATTCTCTACTGATACATACTAACAATCTTTGGTAGGATATAATTTGTCAAGATCCGGACACTCTCGGCTCGACATTTGTGCCAGTTATACTCGGAAGTGACAAAACTACAGTATCGGTAGCAACAGGCGCGAACGACTACTACCCATTGTATGTATCGATTGGCAACGTTCGGAACAGTGTACGGCGCGCACATCGTGACGCCGTTGCCATTATTGGCTTCCTTGCCATGCCAAAAAGTAAGTTTCGTACTCCTACTGTTGTTCTGTGCTAATTACGGTCGAGTAGCTACAAAGGAGCACGCCGCTGATTCAAAATATCGAAAATATCGCCGACAGCTATTTCATTCGTCTATCGCCAAGATCCTCGAGAACTTGCGACCGGGAATGACTAAACCAGAGGTCGTTCGCTTCGGTGATGGCCACTATCGGCGTGTGATTTACGGGCTTGGACCGTATATTGCGGATTATGAGGAGCAAGTTCTTTTGGCTTGTATAGTGCGTGGCTGGTGCCCCAGGTGTGTTTTTATATTCTGCCTTAGTACTAACTACTAATGTACTACAGATGTATGTCCAACCGCAACACTTTAGACGAGAAGTCGTTGTGTCGGTGCCGTGACCACACGGAAGCGCTAATCGAAGAGGTTGCAACCTCCCTCGCTCTGTGGGATGAGTACGGGATTGTCAGCGACCTTGTTGTGAGTCCCTCATGCTTCTCTAATGCAGCCGAAGTTCAACCCTTTCTAGCCGTTTACCAACGACTTTCCTCGCGCGGATATCTACGAATTGATCGCGCCAGACCTCCTTCACCAGCTGATAAAAGGAACCTTCAAGGATCACTTGGTCGAGTGGGTTGGTAAGTATCTGATTCACGTACATGGTAAGAAAGAGGCAGAGAAAATTCAAGATGATATAGACCAAAGGTGTGTCAATTTGCGCTGATTCGATGTTTCAACGCTCATGTCAATCAAAGAATTTCTGTGGTTGCCTCCTTTGCAGGCCTTCGACGTTTTCCGCAGGGTCGAGGCTTCAAGCAATGGACCGGCGACGATTCAAAGGCGCTTATGAAGGTAAGTTTTTTTTTCTGTGCACTATTACGACGTCACTACCATCAGACTAACATTGATCTAGGTTTATCTACCCGCCATTGAAGGTCACGTCCCAACCGATGTGGTGCGCACCTTTCGTGCGTTTCTCGAATTCTGCTATCTCGTACGGCGTAGCATCATTACAGAATCTACGCTAGTTCAAATCCAGGACGCTCTCGACCGATTCCATCATTACAGGACTATCTTCGAGTCCACCGGCGTTATCTTCACATTCTCCCTCCCTCGCCAACACTCGTGCTCCCATTATGTCCTCCTTATTCGACTTTTTGGTGCACCGAACGGCCTTTGCTCGTCGATTACGGAGACGAAGCACATCAAAGCGGTGAAGGAACCGTGGAGGCGATCGAGTCGCTACAAAGCACTCGGTCAAATGCTGGTAACAAACCAGCGCCTAGATAAGCTTGCAGCAGCGCGCGTGGATTTCAAGAGCCGTGGAATGTTGAATGGGACCTGTCTGTCCGCAATACTTCAGAGACTAAGTGAGTTTTTTTATTGCGCTGTACATTTTCATTGTGTGCTAAATATTTGTGCTAGAGCGTTTGCGCTTGAATAATGACCCTGCTGCCACCAACGAGCCCAACCCAACCAACGATAATATCTTGGTGCTACCTTCCAACACTGACATTACGGTACTCGGCGACAACGAAGAGGGTGAAATCGACGACAGCCCAACGCTGGTGCAGGCTCACGTTCAGCTGGCAAAAATGATTCGTAAGTTAGCTCACACTTTGCATTGAATACTTTTCTGATAGAATCCTCGCCATTGCGCAGAGCGCAAACGTGCACGCACCATTCCCGATTTATCCACAGAACTCGCTATCCCCCATCTCTACACCCTCCTCCGCCAATTCTTATTCGAACAATTGAACCCAGATGACCAGCGTGCTCCCTCCGATGTCCCGCTTGCACAATGTCCTCGATTCGACGGCAAGATTCAATTGTTCAACTCGGCATCTTCGATGTTCTATGCTCCCAGTGACCGCAGCGGGATTGGCGGCATGCGCCGCGAACATATCCGTGCCTGTCCTGTTTGGAGAAACGAGGCACCCCGGTACGACTGCGTGTTTGTTAACACAGACGCAGGTGTCGAAGGGATGAGGGGCATGGAGATAGCCCGTGTCATGTGTTTTTTCTCGTTCACGTTTGAAGACATCGTGTACCCATGCGCTGTAGTACACTGGTTCGACAAAGCCGGCGATGGGCCTGACGAGGACACGGGGATGTGGGTTGTCGAACCCTCATTCGATGCTGATCGTTCGCCGTCCGTTGGAATCATCCACATTGATTCAATCTATCGCGCCGCACACCTTGTCCCAATCTATGGAGCGCAGGTCATCTCACGCGACCTCAAGCACTATGACTCATATGATCATTTTCAAGCATTCTATGTGAACAAATTTGCAGACCATCACGCATTCGAGATCGCGTCTTAGGACTTCTTACACTTGTGAGTTCATTCTGCTTGTTGCATGTTCACACAGTTTAACCATCACCAAGGTACAATTGCTCACAAGCGAGCGGTCGAAGAATTCGGTAAGCGTGACCGGACCTCCCACGTACCATTGCTCACAAACGAGCGATCGAGGAATTCGACGAGCGCAATTCCCCCCCTCTACCTCTCCATGAACCCCTCCCCTCACTTTCAACAACACCCACAGCAGCAGCAGCAGCCTCCTATAGCATTGCTCACAACCGAGCGATCGAGGAATTCGACGAGCGCAATTCCCCCCCTCTACCTCTCCATGAACCCCTCCCCTCACTTTCAACAACACCCACAGCAGCAGCAGCAGCCTCCTCTGAATCACGTCTCGCTCATGCCCACCAACCCAATGAATTTACTCGCCATCACTCACAAACGAGCGATTGAGGAATTTGACGAGCATAATCGACCCCCGCCTACTACCACATCACTCATCAGAACTCGTCACCAAATCCCCCCCCCCCCCCCCTTTAATCTAGATGGGCCGTGTAATACTTATTTGACTTAATACAACTTTTGCCACTTTTTTGAATTATCGTGACTTGTGAGCTTGAGCGCACACTGAATTGACTTTTGAGAAAGTCTATTAAGTGAAAAAAGTGATGTTTTGGTTTCATTTTTCAGAAATTAAGTCGCATTAAGTAAAAAAAGCAAGTTGTTGTTTTCCTGATGCTAGCGTATGATTGGGGTGAGCATCATAACATTAGAGAATTGCTGATTTCCTACAAGTATTTCCAGTCCTTACGTTCGGACAAGAGGTATGTTGATCCTATGACCGGGGCAGCCATCTCGCTAAGTTTTGTTTGTAGGTCGAACTGGTCTGGGTGAGCACGGTTCCACGTCAGAAGAACAATATTGATTTGCGACAGAGACAACGCTGGTCCCTGATGACCGTCCTCTATCTGAGTGTACGTACCTTGCCTGTTGTGAATTTCTGCTGACTTGACAATATCCTAGGTGCACTATCTTGGATTATTCTTTGTCATGTATGTTCATAAGGCTTGACAATTGGTGTCGTGCTAATCTGCTATCTCTCACACTCAGCCTGCGCATACTGGGTATGTCTTCCCGCATTCACAGTGTTTGTTTCTTCTGACCAGTGGCATACAGACAGTGTTCCGACTATTTTGTTGACAGATGCAGTGAGTCTTCTGCACAGATGCCTGCTATTCCCATTCAATTAACCGCGACACCCTGTACTAGGGGTGAGTGTCATTCTTGACCAGCTTCTTCGTTTATTATCATGACTGCTACAGATGTGAGTCTGTTTGTGGTGTGTGATCCACCGACAGCCCATCACTAACCGTATTTCTCAGGCCGGATTGTGTACATCGTGTGGGATTTGACGTTTGTTGTGGCATTTCCAATGCTGTGTAGTGAGTTGTACAGTTACGAGACCTATGATATTGACTTGACCGAAACATGTTGCAGTCATCATGATCACTCGGTTACATGCCATGTATCAACGATCCAGAAGGATCCTGATATTTCTCGTTGTCGTGTTCTTTGCTGTCAACATTTTCGACGTAGTGGCCAATGCAATAGTAACAAGGCATGCTTCAGGAGGTACACTTAATTGTGAATGAAAACCGTGCATGGCGCTCATTGATGAATACAAGAGGAACTCATTCTCTCTGGCACCTATTTGTGCTTTATTAGCCTTGCGGGCAATTCCCGACTTATGGTTTCCATTACTTGGATACTCGGCATTGTCTGGGAGGTCCTCGCACTTTGCCTCGCAGTCTGGATTGCTGTAAAACACTTCCGTGAACTGCGACAGCATTCGGCAGGAGGGATTATCGGCGACTGTTTCACGGTGTTGATAAAATCCCACGTGTTTTACTTTGCGAGGTGAGTTCATATTGTGAATATGGCTCCCTTTTCCGCTAAACGATTGCATGTGCTAGCTTTGTTGCCGTGTCTTGCTTTAGCCTCGTACATGGTTTTTCTCCAAAGATCTTAACGGTATGTCAATGTTTCACTGACCTCTGCATGCGACCGCGGTTCATCATTTCTATAGAACTCGTCTTCCCTCAAAACTGAGATTTTTATTGGGGTTTTTGAGGTTTTGCTAGTCATACAGTCCTTTGTGCTAGGACCACGCCTTATCCTTGGCGTTCGAGAATATCACGCTCGGCTCGTGGCTGACTCTGATGCAGCAACCGGCATGACCTCAATCGCTTTCCAGGAGCGCGTGCAAATATCGACGGGCAGTGGGGTGTAGCACGGGAGACGCTCAGTGGAGTTAACGGTAATCTGGTGGTATGCAGGGAGCAGGAGAATTTGGCTTTTTCTTCTTGATTTTCAGGTTTCGTTGGTGGTACTTATTTATTTAGTGTTGCAGAGCGGATTTCAAGGATATCTAGACATAGGTCTCTGCAAATATTTCGTCATAATATTTATTTAAGTTATGTGTTCCGCAGACCACAATTGACAGTCCGGACTCGAGAGAGGCGAGTTATGCCATTTGGCTTGTTCATTTATTTGCGTTCTGATCCACATCACGCCCCTAACCTACAAAAAGCTGACAACGTCATAATAGATCAGGGCATCGACTCCAAATCGTACCCATTCATGCGATGATAACGTAGGCGAGCACCTCGCAGGCTATACACCTCCCCTGCACATCGATACGTCAACTGCGGGCTACGTGATGAAATTAGTGTGGTGCATTCTGCAATCAGTTTTCGTCAATAGCCTTGGGCCAACCCAGGCCCTTACCACATCTTTTGCATTTACGCTTTCAGACTCAAGTCCTCAGGCAGAGTTAAGCGAGACGGAGACGCTGTTGATTTCATTCGGAAGCCCTGACTCGCGTTTCTTAGTCAGATCCTTGTGTACAGAACCTGCAGTTGTAATTTGCGATGCTGCCAATAGGGAAAGGGGCTGCCGTGCATGAGCATCTGGGACGCGAGGAGCGACCACGAAGGTTCCCTCGTATGGGGCTTCTTCGCACGTTGAGAACGTGCGCTCTCCTCTTTGCAAAGCAGACGGATAGGGAAGGGATGTGTCCCTTGTGTTATTTAGGCTGCTTGATGGGCGTGGCTGCCTTGGTAGCACTCGAGGTTTGGATGGAGGAATCTTTGGTGGGGAGATCGCAGATAGAAAGCCAGTGCAACCTTATGAAGTGAACACTCTGTTCGCGGTACGAGATAGCAGAGCAATGGCAAGATGGGGCTGGGTGATGGGTCAGTGTGACGTAAATCAAGGGTGTGTTAAAAACAAAGCCAGGGTTGTTGAGGTTGCTGAGCTGTTATCGAGGACGACTGACCAGTCTGACCGCTAGTCTTCCTAGGGGGAAGTACTATCCAGCGCCTCTGGAGATTTGTTATGTATAAATGCAGCAGAACGAGGGACGCATAACACACTACTTACTTTTGTTTTCTTGGCGGCGGTGATTGTTACAGGCCTCAGACCTACATGCCGCGTGAAGAGACTGCGCTTGGGGCGTTGTTGCAGCCCGACGGACTCTTTCGCCGGCGAGTTGCGTCGAGATGGGACGATGATGTTCCAGATGCGCCAAGCCGGGGATGGGTTGGGACGCTGAGAATGACGAAAGGGACCAGATGGTGCCGAAGTATGATGAGGCTGGGAAGTCTATAAATGCTGATTGTCAACACTGGTAACACTTGCATGACAAGACACAAGGTTTACCTGAAAAAAGTCGCCATATGGATCATCTCCCTCCTGTGAGAGGATTTGTAGCGTCGACCTATGATAGTTTTGTGGGCAAGGGAAAGAAAGAAGTCGAGTGCGCGTACCGGAGGCTCATGAGCTATGTCTTTGGCCATCCACAGAGTCGCTTGGTTGTTGTTTCCGCCATATGCGAGGTATCTTCCATCTCGAGAGAATTTCACGCAGTTAAGGTCTTTGTGATCCTCCCGGTCGAATGGTTGGCCGAGTGGCTGATGGGACTCTGTGTCCCATATTTTTGTAATGCCTCCTAAGCCCACGTACGCCAGTAGATTGTTTTCGGGTGAAAGGGCTATAGAAGACAACACATAGTCGTGCTCAAAGCAATGGAGTAGTGTGCCCGAGGTGCTGTCGAAAACACGTGCAAATATGGCCGAGGCAGAGTAAAGTTTTGTGCTGTCCGACGAGCCTGCACAACAGCGTGTGAACTCTTGGCTATGTACGGTTCACTTGGAAAGCAGTTTGGGTTGAACAACTTGTCCTACCAGACAGCTGGCTTCTGCCAAGCTTCTCCTTTAACTGAATTTCTTGCCAATCTGTGAACTACTAGATCTGTGGCCTTTGAATCACAAAGCACAACTTGCTAATGCCTATAACGAACTCGGGAAGGAGCTCTCCTCGAGCAAGATCAGGGTAGTCGGAAACTACCGTACCCTTGGAAAGGTCATCGGTGAGGGTATGTCTTCTGGCTCTCACTCCTGTTTTCCTCTCCCTGACACACACCACTGGCGTACGGCAAGGTTCGCTTGGGCACTCACCGTCTCACCTCTACCAGAGTCGCCATAAAACAAATACCAAAGGCAATGTCTGCCTCCCTCACCCGCGAAATACACCACCACCGCCGACTTCGCCACCCTCGTGTCACTCAGATGTATGAAATCATTGCCACCGAATCTCACATCTGGATCGTCACAGAACTCTGTTGTGGTGGCGAGCTGTTTGATCATCTTGCTGAGAAAGGTCGCTGGTCCGAACACGAATCCAGTATCATTTCCGGTCAGCTCGTGCTTGCAGTTGCATATCTCCACGAGAAGGGCATCGTCCACCGAGATCTGAAGCTTGAAAATGTCTTACTTGATGAGCGCTGTCGCGTCAAACTTGGCGACTTTGGCTTTACTCGCGAGTATGATCATGACGTCTATATGGAGACTTTTTGCGGTACTACCGGATATGCGGCCCCTGAGATGTTTCAAGGCAAGCGTTACCTCAGCCCAGGTGAGCTTGCTTACCTTGCTTTCTTTTATTGCAATTGTTAAATTTCAATGCCATCTTAGAGGTTGATGTTTGGTCCATGGGTGTGATTCTCTACTGTCTTCTAGCTGGCACACTTCCGTTTGATGATGATGACGAAGCGGTCATGAAAGACAAGGTCATTCAAGGCAAATATGAAGACCCTGAATGGCTCTCCACAGGTATATATTAGTTTTGCGCTCTTAGGACGTGATTTACCAACAGTGGACATAGACGCCTGTGATCTGATCCGCAGCATTCTCGAGGTTGACCCTGCCAAGCGTCTGACGATCCAACAAATTCTGGCCTCTCCTCCCGCCCGCCTCTGACCAAGTCATCCTTGGTGTCAATAATGTTCCTGCATCCCCATCACCTGTCCGCGATACCTTTATTCTCCCTGTGAAATCTGTCGTGAACACCCAAACACAGGTGAACGAACTTTCTATTTCTCCGGCGACATCGACTACAGAATCTTTTGTTCTGCATCATCTCATTTATCTCCACCAGTCCCTACAACTTCTGATGACACTTCTAAGGACGCTTTCGATACTCAGGGAAACGGTAGCCAAACCACGATTACGGCCGCTGCTCGGCGTTCTCAGCATCTCAGCAAAGATAGTATGACTCGGCAGCCTGACACCGTCATCGAAGAGGAGCCTGAATCAGAGAACGTTGTACCATCCTCTGCAGGGTCGACTACAAACCTCGATCAGACCCCTAAGGCCTCCCCGTATCCAACACGTACACCTGCACGTACAAAATGTCGCTCTGTGTCTTCTACCCTTTCTGATTCTGGCTCACCAACGCTGGACAAGTCACTGGCCCTTCTCCCGCCCCAAGATTTTGCATCACTGCTCAGCACTCCAGCTCCCATCATTTTCTCCACGCCCGCGGAAGGCGACCTTCTCAATAGCCTCAGTCTACTCGGATTTGACACTAGTCAGATTGTGCATTCTGTTCTCACCGATGCATGCGACGCCGCAGGTGCTGTATGGTGGCATGGGCTGGGTGGACGGTGGGGCTGTCACAAGCTCAGAACGAGCCAAAACGAATGCGCTGGTGGAGCCTTACCTGCCGAAATCACGGCCTGCACTCTTGGGAATTGGAGCAAAGGAACAAGAGGTGTTGGATGACGGTAGTAGAAAGGAGAAACGGAGAGGGGACGAGAAGTGGTATATCCCGCTCGTGAGGCAAGAGAGTAGTAGGGAAGAAAGCAGGAATGGGAGTGCGACTGTTTCGCGGAGGGCTTCGCGATCACCTGAGAGAAGGAGCGGAGGGAAGAACAGTAGGAGGGATGTTCGTAAGAGAAGAAAGGATGACGACCGTGATAGAAGGAGGGACAATGATTATGACGGGTCTAGGAGAGCAAATGATCGCGTTAGACGACGAGACGACGACCGTGACGATCGGGGAGCAAGAGACAGAGATGACAGAAGAAAAAGAGACGATAGTAGAAGGGACAGCGACAGGGACAGGGATGTGGACAGACGGGACCGAGATCGCGATGTCAATAAACATCGTGACAGGGTCCGCGACTACGACGACCGTGATCGACGTAGAGATGGGGAGAGCAGACGGGGAGGAAGGGACAAGCGAGATTAATCATGGTATGACCATCACGCATTTACAAAGCACCAGGACTGATGATCATTCTTCATTAGCTTAGGTGATGCTACATCTATGTATTGTGTTATAACGCTGCATGATACCTTGTGCCCCGTCTGATAGACCCTTGATTGCACTGACTTGGATCATATATCTTTTCGCACAGTCGATTTCATCGGAACGATGTTCGTTCATCCGCAACGGGGAAGTCATTGGGAGCATGTGGAATTGGCTGTTTCACTCGGACATCGCTTCAATCACCAACTGTATAGCAATGTACAAAGAATCACTGCACTCGTTAGGCGCGATCACTAGTTCCTTGGGTTCTCAGGAGGGATATACAATTAGAAATTAGAAGTCGAGATATACAGTCGACGTGAGGTACGAGCATGTAATTCTTTTCTGACTGGACACAAAGCCAGCGCTGGAGGTCTCGGTCATTACCTTGGTGATCAACTGAAGGTGGGAAGTACTTGATTGCTTTGTGATGAGGAATCACGAACAGTTGTTAAAAATATGTTCTTTCATCTTTTGCGGTGTTCAAGTGTTCCGCATGAGGAGATCTATCCTGTGTCGAGGGTAGATAGTGCCACTCCCGGGCCGAAGCGGCCGACTAGCGCGCGCTGTGCGAATGTGGATTGCATGCAAAGAGAGTTTGGCATTGGCAAGTTGACTCGTTGAGTAACGTGCAAACTGATATACGAACAAGTTGAGTTGACACGTGGATGAGTTGACTCACTGAGTTGTCGAGTTCAAGTTGAGTTGGGAATGTCCGCCACGGTCCGTCATACTATTAGTACTAGAACCTGTACGATCACTTTCACATCACCGGCATTTTATTCAAGGCCCGCTACATCACTTCGAACATCATATCCATTGACAGGAACCTATCCCTCAATCTCATTTCGGTCATCTAAGCACTGGATGGTGGTGGTATATCTAGCACGAATATCATCGTCGTATGTCCACCAAGTTCCCCGCTCCCTCACATTCATCCTCTAACAGTATGACCCTAGTCTCAGACGACCCTAGTTATTGGCCGTTCATCAACGCTTGGCGTATTGGCAGCTATTTTGTAGGTTCGTGAAGAGCAGTCATATTTCGGCGCTCATGTCTCGATCTGACCTTGATTGTGGTTTTCCAGTTGGCGCTGGTGTTATAGTGGTATATGATTGGGGTGAGCATCATAACATCAGAGAATTGCTGATTTCCTACAAGTATTTCCAGCCCTTACCTTTGGACAAGAGGTATGTTGATACTATGACCGGGGCAGCCATCTCGCTAAGATTTGTTTGTAGGTCGAACTAGTCTGGGTATAAGCACGGTTCCACGTCAGAAGAATAATATTGATTTGCGACAGAGACAACGCTGGTTCCTGATGACCGTCCTCTATCTGAGTGTAAGTAGCTTGCCTGTTGTGAATTTCTGCTGACTCGACAATATCCTAGGTGCGCTATGTTGGAGTATTATTTGTCATGTATGTTCAGAAGGCTTGACAATTGGTGGTGTGCTAATCTGTTATCTCTCACAACCAGCATGAACATACTGGGTATGTCTTCTCGCATTAACCGTGTTTTTATCTTCTGACTAGTGGCATACAGTCAATGTTCCTACGATTTTGTTGACAGATGCAGTGAGTCTTCTGCACAGATAGCTGGTATTCCCATTCAATTAACTGTGACACCCTGTAGGGGTGAGTGTCATTCTTGACTAGCTTCTTCGTTTACTATCATGACTGCTACAGATGTGAGTCTGTTTGTAGTGTGTGATCCACCCAAGGCCAATCACTAACCGGATTTCTCAGGCCGGATTCTGTACCTCGTGCAGAATTGGACGAATGTTGTGGCATTTCCAATGCTGTGTGGTGAGTTGTACAGTTACGAGATCTATGATATTGACTTGACCAAAACATGTTGCAGTCATCATGATCACTCGGTTACATGCCATGTATCAACGATCCAGAAGGATCCTGATATTTCTCGTCGTCGTGTCCTTAGCTGTCAACATTTTCGACGTAGCGGTCACGGTAATGGCAACGAGGCATATTTCAGGAGGTACACTTAATTGTGAATGAAAACCGTGCATGGCACTCATTGATGAATACAAGAGGAACTCATTATCTCTGGCACCTATGCGTGCACGCTTGGCCTTGCAGACAATACTCCACTTCTGGCTTCTATTATTTGGATACTCGGCACTGTCTGGGAGATCCTCGCACTGTGTCTCGCAGTCTGGATTGCTGTTAAACACTTCCGTGAACTGCGACAACATTCAGCAGGAGAGATTATCGGCGATTGTTTCACGGTGTTGATAAAATCCCACGTGCTTTACTTTGCGAGGTGAGTTCATATTGTGATTATGCTTCCCTTTTCCGCTGAATGATTGAACGCGCTAGTTATGTCGCCGTGTCTTGCTTCAACCTCATTGGTAATTTGTCTCCAACGATTTTAGCGGTATGTCAATCTTTCACTGACATCTGCATGCGACCGCGGTTCATCATTTCTATAGGACCCATTTTCCCTCGAAACACAGATTTTTCTTGGTGTTCTTCAGACTTTACAAGTCATACAGTCCTTTGTGCTAGGACCACACCTCATCCTAAGCGTTCGAGAATATCACGCTCGGCTCGTGGCAGACTCTGATGCAGCAACCGCCATGACCTCAATCGCTTTCCAGGAGCGCGTGCATATATCAACTGGCAGTGGCGTATAGCACGGGAGATGCTTGATGAAGTTAACGGTAATCTGGTGCTATGCAGGGAGCAGGAGAATTTGACTTTTTCTTCTTGATTTTCAAGTTTCATCGTGGTACTTATTTATTTGGTGGTGCAGAGTGAATTTCAAGGAAAGATGGGCCTTGGCACATATTTCGTGTAATATGTATTCAAGTTATTTGTTCCGAAGAATGTTTGAAGGAGACGGGACAAGGTGTCGCGTCAGCCCTAGGCCGCTACCATATCTTTCGCATTTACGTTCGCAGACTCAAGTCCCCAGGCCGAGTTAGCGAGGCGGCGACGCTGTTGATTTCATTCGAATCCAGCCCTGACTGGCGTTTCTTAGTTAGATCCTTGTGCACACTAGAATGAGAAGTTGTAATTTGCGAGGCTGCCAATAGGGAAAGGGGCTGTCATGCATGAGCATCTGGGGATGCAAGGAGCGACCAGGAAGGTTCCATCGTACGGGGCTTCTTCGTACGTTGAGAACGTGCATTCTCCTCTTCGTCAAAGGGAGGAAGGCATGGAATGTGTCCCTTGTTAAATATAGGTTGCTTAATGGGCGTAGCTGCTTTGGTTGCACTCGATGTTTGGATGGCGGCGACTTTGGTGGAGAGCTCTCCGGTCGTCGACTTCACTCCGCCCTGCTAACCTCCTGGGTAGCTCAATCTCCCGCGCTTAGAAACCATGTGTGTTTTTCATACGCAAACAGTAGCATGGGTTACAAACGTGACTTATATGTGAAGATTTACGACAAGTCATAACTCGTCAACTCCACTCCAAGCTAACAGAAGGATGATAATCAGAGGGGACGCTGAGAGGCCTAAGGTGTGATGAAAGAATAAATGGGTATAGAGCGCTGAGAGAATCTGGGGCGACCATGTATTGGGGCCAAAGATTGGGATTAAGTCGAAATCCAAGAATGAACTGCGACCAAGCTGCATTGCTCGATCGTATGGAGGTGCTTCATACGTCAGGGGTATCATGCAAGAGGATGTAGAGGCGTCGAAGCTTGGAAGACGAGATGTCGAAATGCCGTGATAAAAACAAGAGAGGAAACGAAACAGAACAAAATCTGATCTGAAAGGTCGTGGAAGGTACCAGAAAGAGTGATGACGGTTGCACAGGAAGAATGACAAGAGTCGGACCACAAACAAGAAGAGAGAGAGATAGGCGGGACATAGAAGTTCGTGCGTCCGCAACTCGATAGAAAAAGCGACAATAGTCGGAATGCCGAAGTTGGAGTGAGGTTCAGCAGAAAGAGAAACAGGATGGCAGAAGGAAGATGCACTCTCATTCGGTAGAAAGCGGCTGGACTAAATGGATGACTATAGTTGGAACGAGGTTCAACGATATCATACTCGAACATGCCGCACTGCCGAGCCGGATCAGAGGCGTCGTTGATTATGCTTGGAGCATTTCACATGAAAGAAAAAAGAATGCGTGTGAAGCTCAGCCGGATGAACAAGTGTGGATGTATCGTGAAGGAGAGGTTGGGAAGATATAAGGGTAGAATGGTGAGGATGGAACAGGGGAGTGTAGAAGACACTTGGAGAACAGAAAGGACGTCCGGCCGGGAAGGAGGGAATGCCAGTCAAAAAGAAATCGGTGACCAGAATGAGACGAGGGTGAAAGGAGAAAAACTTTGTTGCTCACCAACACAACCGATTTTAGGCTTTACCTACATGCTAGAAACAAGAGGTACGAATATGACTTTGGTTTACCAACGGCACGCAACATGGCCATTTTCCAAGTTGGAACGAGGATTGCGAGAATGCAAATGCAAAAGTGCGAGTGTGCGAGTAAGATAATTGTCCGTGACTCAGATGGTGTGCTTGAAGCTCGAGGGCACAAAGCCTGAGGAGAAGAAGATTCTGTGCTTGAACCAACATCCTCCAGTATTTCGAGCGTGGTCGCTTTCGATTCAGAGCACATGGACAGGCCATGATTGTATAATGAGGTTCACATCGTGAGTGGTTCATTGGACGGCACGATGCACAAGTGGAACTGCGACACGGGATTTCTTGTCGGAGAACCATGAACAGGCGAGGGCGGAAGGATATGGGCAATAGCGCTTTCACTGGAGGGAAAGAAAACTGTGTGCGGGAGGGAAGACGGAAGCGTTCAGCGATGGAAGACCGACGGATAGATGATCGAAGGCATGTGGGCGGGTCATAGTTGGAATGTGCGGTCACTGTCGTGGTCTCCCAGTGGAGACAATATTGCAAGCGGGTCCGATGATAGAACAATCCTCGTCCGAAAAACAGAAAGCAGAGACATCGAGGTGGGCCCAGTCAAGATGGAGCAGCAATGTGTGTGGTCTCAGGCGACAGAATAGCATGAGGCGGATGTCAAACGACCTGAATTTGGAACACTGAGACAGGCGAGCTCGTTGTCGGTCTTATCGAAGACTGGGGGAATAAGTACGTCGTGGTCGTCGGCCAACACGAAACTTTACTCTGCCTTGAACAAATTCGCACGTTGTTCAACTTGTTTTCGATCGACAAAGTAACTCAGGCACAGATGCCACAGAACTCCATCACCCTCTCGTGTATCGTTCTCTCGGGATGGAAAATACATCACAGAAGATTTAGAAGGGGGAGAAGATCCATACAGCGACTTTTTTCAGGTAAGCCTCGTGTTTCGTCATGCGAAGGGTACCATTGATGATAAACATTCAAAGCCTTACCATGCTTCGGCTCTGTCTGGCCCCTCTCCTCGTTCCCAGCGTCGTCAGGCTTCCTCCGCTCGCCGCCTCTGGAACTTCTTCATCTCCTCTCGATATCGTCCTACTGCAAGGGGGTCCATTGCGATGCAACAACACTCCAAACGCCGTCTCTTCCGGAAGAAAAAAAAGGTAAGCAGTGTATTAGGCGTCCCTCGTTATGATGTATTTATACATCACCTAATCTTCAGAGAGTCTATGTAGCGCCTCCCCCTTTGAAGACCAACTCAAAAGCTCCGACTGGTCAGTCGCCCTCAGCAGTAGCTCAGCCTGCATTGCAGTCACATTCGACCCCTCAGCGTCAGCCTGAGGCACAGACGGCGACACAACAACCTACTCAAGAAGAAGACTATGGTTGTTGAGGCAATTTTTGCCTCGCACTTTGGTGTATCCCACGCTGAACTCGTCCCGCTGCCTCCGCTTCTCAGCCTGCTGCCCCGTGATGTCACTCTTCCTGTTCCGTATCTCCATCTATGTGCGATATATTTGCTTTGGTAGGGACTAATCTTTGGATACCCGATTTACGCTTACTCTCTTGCTTGGTTGAGCTACGTGCGTTGTTTTTGTCGGTATCTCGTTGACACTCCACTTCATTCCAACTGTTGGCACGCAAGTCTTAGCAAGGTTTTTGACATTCGAATTCCGAAGGTACCAGCACTTCGTCTGTATCCTCCAATAGTATAGTAGTCACCATCTCGCCTCTCTCGGTCCCAGATTCTAATTGAACCCTCTAGATCTCTGTCTCCAGCAGTCGAGGACTCGTGGACCTTCGACGGTCTATCTTCTCTCCTCTCGAACAGGCCGCGGACCCAGGCTAATTGGCAATGCGGGTGATGTGAAGTGCCGCTACCTCTTCCAATGCGCTCGGACTTACATCCAGGAATCACATTCGAATGTCTGGAGATCGGTCGAGAACTCTATCGAGTTCGTGTTCACGCATCCCAACGGTGAGGAAGGTCGATAACCACAGCAGGTAACAGGTCAGACGCGCTGTTGAGATCGCTGGTCTCATCGCATCTAAGGAGGAGCAATCTCACGTGCACCTCTTGACTGCTGGCGAAGTAAGTCTTCATTTCTGTTTTACCAGCATGATTGCGTCGGATATATTCTCTAAAAACCTTATAGATGTGTCAGATTACTCGGACGAGGAGGAAGATCAATCTAACCGCCATAGAGTCATTGTTGTTGATACCGGAGGCGGAACTATCGATCTCAGTACCTACTCCATGAAGTTATCTCCGACTTTGTTCGAGGAGATTGCTCCAGCTGAATGCGAATCCCGCTTTCCTGCGTTATTAACGGCGTATAGCTTGTTCAAATACTATGCTGTATCCCTCGAAACGTATTCTAAACACCCCGAATAGATCAACATTTGAATGTCCAACTGCGCACAGGCCCTGGGGTGGTGAAATCTTTCTGATCAAGCTATCAACGTTCTAGCACAGAAACATTCCTATGACGATCCACATCGATCGTGACGATGAAACTGTCAAATACCAAATCGGAGGCTAAAGACAAGTAGGTTCTTTAGTGCTGTACCATCAACCAATCCCACAACTCCAGCCAACTTATCGTCCCCTGGTTTGATCCTGTTACACCCGCCAGGTAGTAGTGATATCCACCAATCGCGTCACCTCACTCAAATCACTTCTCTATCTACAGCCTCTGGATGCTCAAATTCAGGCAAAGCTTTGTTGCATGATCTGGAGGCTCTGCGTTCTCGAATCTTGATCTTTAGTGGATGTTCTGGGGGTGCTGGTGTACTATGTAAGCCTGGTTGTAACTAGCTCACGTGAGATACTTATTGACAGTATTCCATACCAGGCTACCCTACGAACAGCGGATGAAGAAGTCGACTTTATTGATACACTCCAATCGGCATCGACTACATGATGGATTTAGTGGGATACGTTTCGCATCGGGTTTCATTGTATTCAACGTTGAAGGTGTGCGCTGGCAGCTAGGGCCAAGAACAACAAGTCAGGCTTGATGCGGTCATTAACGGTACTTCCCACTCTTCTTTCCCCCCATGTTGCTATCTTGAGCTAGAGATGGTGTTGTATCTTCACCACATATTCAATCACTGAATTTCAACCATGATGTCTCTGGCTGTGAAAACCGAAACCTGTTACCATCCCACCAACTCCACGATGCAAATTTGAAAATGCTGCGCCCATCATGCATCATGGCCAGCATGTTAGAATGGCATCAGATGCAAGGTGACACAATCACGAACAGTTCTAGATGTTGTTTCATCTTTTGCGGTGTTCAAGTTCTGCCTGTGCAAATGTGTCATGACCAACTTGTTATACGTACGTTGAGCCCCACATCTTTAAATCATTATTTACTCGCTGATTAAGTACAGGCTGGCAACACTGGCTATTAGAATGAAGATTAACGATATAAGAGATCTACTAGTACCTGTAGTGAACGACTTCGATAGAAGGGAATACACCGCTGCACCAACACTAAACGATTCTGCCGTTCGCGCGGGGTGCGGTGATCGCTGGCATCGAACCTTCAGTACTCAGTACCCGATCACTTTCGCATCACCGGCATTTTATTCAAGGCCCGATGCATCACTTCATGATGTCATATCCATTGGCAGGAGCGGATATCATCCCTCAATCTCATTTTGGTCATGGTAGTATATCTAGCACGAATATCATCGTCGTATGTCCACCAAGTTCCTCGCTCCCTCACATCCATCCTCTAACAGTATGACACTAGTCTCAGACGACCCTAGGAATTGGCCAGTCATCAACGCTTGGCGTATTGTCAGCTATTTCATAGGTTCGTGAAGAGCAGTCAGAGTTCGGCGCTCATGTCTCGATCTCACCTTGATTGTGGTTTTCCAGTTGCCGCTGGTGTTGTAGTAGCGTATGATTGGGGTGAGCATGATAACCTTAGAAAATTGCTGATTTCTCACAAGTATTTCCAGTCCTTACGATCGGACAAGAGGTATGTTGATGCTATAACCTGGGTAGCCATCTCGCTAAGATTTGTTTGTAGGTCGAACTGGTCTGGGTGAGCATAGTTCCACGTCAGAAGAACAATATTGATTTGCGACAGAGGCAACATTGGTCCCTCATGACCGTTCTCTATCTGAGTGTACGTAGCTTGCCTGTTGTCAATTTCTGCTGACTTGACAATATCCTAGGTGCGCTATGTTGGAGTATTATTTGTCATGTATGTTCAGAAAACCAAACAATTGGCGTTGTACTAATCAGCCATCTCTCACACTCAGCCTGGGCATACCTTGTATGTCTTCTCGCATTCACAGTGTTTGTTTTTTCTGACCAGTGGAATACAGACAATGTTCCGACGATTTTGTTGACAGATGCAGTGAGTCTTCTGCACTGATGCCTGTTATTCCTATCCAATTAACCGCGACGCCCTGTAGGGGTGAGTATCATTCTTGATCAGCTTCTTCATTCAGTATAATGAATGTTACAGATGTGAGTCTGTTTGGAGTGTGTGATCCACCCAAGGCCCATCACTGACCGGATTCCTCAGGTCGGATTCTGTACCTCGTACATACTTGGACGAATGTTGTGTCATTTCCAATAGTGTGTGGTGAGTTGTGGAGTTGCAAAACCTATACTATTGACTTGACCGAAACATGTTGCAGTGATCATGATCGCTCGGTTACATGCCATGTATCAACGATCCACAAGGATCCTGATATTTCTCGTCGTCGTGTCCTTGGCTGTCAACATTTTCCAGGGAGTGGTCATGGCAATGACAACGAGGGATATTTCAGGGGGTACACTTAATTGTAAATGAAAACGTGCATAACGCTCATTGATGAATACAAGAGGAAATCATTCTCTCTGGCACCTATGCGTGCACGGTTGGCTATGCAGACAACTTGAATTTCTCACTTCTGACTTCCATTACTTGGATACTTGGCACTGTCTGGGAGGTCCTCGCGCTGTGTCTCGCAGTCTGGATTGCTGTAAAACACTTCCGTGAACTGCGACAACATTCGGCAGGAGGGATTATCGGCGACTGTTTCATGGTGTTGATCAAATCCCACGTGCGTTACTTTGCGAGGTGAGTTCATATTGTGATTATGCTTCCCTTTTCCGCTAAATGATTGAACGCACTAGTTATATTCTCGTATCTTGCTTTAAAATCGTAAATTATTTTTCTCCAACGCTCTTAGCGGTATGTCAATCTTTCACTGACCTCTGCATGCCACAGCGGTTCATCATTTCTATAGGACATATTTTCCCTCGAAACACAGATTTTTCTTGGTCTTCTTCAGATTTTGCAAGTCATACAGTCCTGTGTGCTAGGACCACGCCTCATCCTAAGCGTTCGAGAATATCACGCTCGGCTCGTGGCTGACTCTGATGCAGCAACAGGCATGACCTCAATCGTTTTCCAGGAGCGCGTGCAAATATCGACAGGCAGTGGCGTATAGCATGGGTGATGATCGATGAAGTTCACGGTAATCTGGTGCTATGCAGGGAGCAGGAGAATTAGCTTTTTTTCTTGATTTACAAGTTTCGTCGTGGTACTTATTCATTTGGTGTTGCAGAGCGGATTTCAAGGAGATCTAGACATAGTCTTTGCAAATATTTATAATATCCATTCAAGTTATTTGTTCTGAAGAACGCTGGAAGAGACATGACACAGCACAATGATCGAGATTACTACTCAAGGGAAAGGTGAAGAAAATGTGAGATTTCTCGACAATACACCAGGATTACCCGTGAAAATACACGTCTAGAAATTGTATAGGGAAATACAGACTTTACCCGGATTCTCATGGGAATATGCGGAGCAATTCACGAACACTTCCCTTAAAATACCTGTTCGAGGTACATGTTGGGATCTTCTTCGAAAGCTGTTGCTCGACGACAAGCTCGATAAATGCTCAACGCTGACCGTCTCTTCTCATTCCCGGGTTCAAGAAGGTGATACATTGGATGGCCCAGACATGGTGCACAATATAATATAAGTGCTACAGCGTGAAGGGGGGACAGAAGCTGCTGTCGTTCCAGTTGTTCGTGTTCTCCGCACCATGGATTTGAGCTACGGCGATTTCCAGTTTCCTTCTGGTTTCCCGGAACCAGGCAGTTTCTCAGCAGCTCCTTACGATGGAAACATGGGAGCGATTCCGCCGTTGTATCAGCCCCGAGGCTTGCCGTCAGCCGCAGAAAAGTTGGGAGAGAGCGCAAAGCTATCGAAGACCGCGGTAGTCTCAGCATTGGAAGCAGTTAAACAGCGAGTGACCGAGCTAGAGAAACAACTCGCTCAGTGCCCGAGCCAACGCGATCTTTCAGAGGTAGTTGCTCACCAGAACATTGTGATCCAATCCATACACAACTCGTGCGAGAAGCGCCTCAATGACATGCAACAAGATTTTGAAATGAAGTTGGCGAACGTGTTGCAGACGGTCGAAAAAGGACATGGGGACGGGGAATCTAGTGACGAAGACGACGAAGAAGACGAGGATGAAGCAAGGATAGAGGCGAGCCTGGAAGCGAAGGGTGATCCTGGGCTGCTGGTGAGTATATAACTATGATTTCAAAAATAATGCTCATGCGTTTGAACACAGGCCGTTATACGTCACGCGTTTTCACATATGCTCGGTACTGTGAGATTGACTGCCAAAGATCTGCCTTGGTGGCCAAAAGACGGTGAACAGTGGCCTGTGGATATTGCGACTAGTGAAAAGCTCCTTCGATTCCGCTGGGGGGAAAGTCATACTCACGAAGATAACTATCGAGGTCTCCAGACGATCTTCAGATACATTCGTACGAAGGGTGCCGAGTTTAGTCCTGCATCTGCAAAGGCATTGCGTGCAATTAGCGACGAAGATTTGCTCGATCGTGTGCAGACCAAATACCAGGATTTGCAGAAAGCGTTACGGGCAGCCAAGCTGCTGTCGTCGTCTCGCGTAACCACCACAACAGAGGCTTCCGAAAACCAAGGCACATTACGGGAAGTGAAACTGTCAAAGGGCGTGCGTCAGAGTCGACAACAAGGTGTAAGTACTTACTAGCAGTGACAATGTTACCTATGACAGCGGTCCACAGAAATGCGAGGTTCGCGAACGGAAATTTGCCGCGTTATCCGATGATTCGGAGTTCAAGACTGATGCCTTCAAGACTGCCCTCATCCCCCAGCTCATGTCAGAAGACGACGACGAGACAAATGAAGAAGGACGTCTCACTGGAAGATACATCTCTCGTCCTTGGGTCTGGGCCAGTGAGCAGGTAAGCAATGATTGGGTGGTGGGATTCCAAGCGCTGACCCACCTTGTACAACAGAGAAACCAGTTTATCGCTGCTGTCGATGCTCAACAGGACCCTCATCCACCGAAACGTTACACTATTCGGGTGCGAGGCGAGACACTCGATGTCACTATTCCGCGGATTCAGAAGGTTGAACATCGTGCGAGGAGGTGGATGGTATCGCAGGAGTGGCTTGCACAGCCAGAGAATCAAAAGTATGATGTACCGGCGTTTGTTGTCGACAATGGGAAAGCATGGGGCGATCCGAAGGACCCGGAAGAAACCATATCTGCCCAGAAGCGTGTCAAGATCCAAAAGAAAGATGTCGCCGCGCGTAAGAGAGCGAAATTGGTAGACAAAGGGAATACGAAGCCAGGGAAGGGTAAGAAAAAAGCAGGATCGAAAAAGGACAAGGGGAAAGCGAGAGCGATTGATGTTGATGAGGAGCCAACTCAGCCGAAGAACACAGTGCCTGCGCAGCCTGTCGCAAGCACATCAAACACAAATCAGATGGTTGACGACAGTCTTGATAGCGACTTTGAAGATTAATCAAAAGGTGCGCACCTTGTATGTCCAGTCTCGTGGCGTTGAGCTCAACCGTCGTCGTCATCAAAGAAATCCTCGGGCTCCGTTCCTGACTAAAGGACAAAAAATGTCAGTTGTCTCCGAGTCGATAGCGTAACTAATCGAATCTTGTACATGGTCGAATGATACTGAAATCCAAAGATGTTTCTTGATAACGTTAGAGTGTACTGGAATAAGTGCGAGTGGGCTTGTGATGCGGGAGACCGGGATTATTTCATATGGGTGGTAGTCGTTCGCATACGAGGTATGGATGCCAAGAGTACTTTCACTAGTACCATTCAAGTTAATGTTAAATCTGGTGAGAAACGAGGTCCAGACTCACTAAAGTGCCCAGGGCATCAACGGAATATTTTCATCGGACTTGAGACGTCGGACAAGGGCACAAACGTGAGGTACTTTGTCTCGAATGCCAACAGCGAGGAGTGTGGTTATCTCAGCGGGAAGACGGGACCCATCACAGGAAATGAAACCATATGCGTCTGTCTGTGTTCGTCTGTTGGTCATGCAACCATACCTAATACCATCCTTTCGGATATATGTGAGGGCACGGGCAACCTTCGATGCAAAGAAGACTGTGCCATCATCAAGCGAGAAGTCGTCGACGATGTTAAGATCGGGCCAGAGAGCTCGGCAGTAAGATATAAGCAGTGGATAAAGGACACCTTCAGGTCCAAATGTTCGAAGATTGATGAACTTTGCTTGGCGAAGTGGGAGTCGGACATTATCTGAGGAGTTGATTAATAGACTCGGAGTCAAAGCATAGAATAGAACATACCTTGAGCAGCTTCACTCTGATACACAGCAATATCTGTCATCATACTCCCTCGTTGCTGGGCTTGACTCTTGAGAATCTCGTTGAGTGTCTCTCGTTCTATCGCGTGAGTGTCGGGTGGAAGCGAGAGAGTATACTCGTATATCAAGTGGGTCTGAACCCAATGACGCATCAGGGTCAACTCCATTCGGCCGCCGTCATGTCCATTGTGATTGACACGTTCCAGCATCCCATTGAAGCGCTCGAATGCGAACAACCACCATGAATACACAGGTCCGTAAGCCTTGATCATGTCCGCGATATGCATCGATGCATGGTGATTGATCGTGAGATGGATGTTGAGCTCGAGGCAACGAAGGCAGTACTGGGACAAAAACGACTGTCCAATGCGTGCTTGGGACATCGATATTGATCGAGTTGCGAGAAGACGGACAGCTGCGCATAGAAGTAACACGGCATCATAGATGCGCCGGCAGTTGCGTGAAAATTCCGGTGCTTGAGTATTGGGTGGCTGAGGGGGCTCCGTGTCCGAAATATCATCGTTCTCGTCCTTCCAGGACCACCATAGTAGTACTGGTGTGATTGTCAGTAGTCTTCTCCACTCGTCTGCTTTCTTTAGTGATTGGTTCTCGCCGAGCTGTTAAAAAATGTACTTAGTGCCAATCCAATTTGAGGAACGTAAACCAATATACATTCTTGGGAAGACGTGTGATATGACTCGGCCATTTAACGCTGTTGATAAGGTTCTCGAAGCGCTGCTTCGGGGAGTTTCTACCTCCAGCACCGGAGAACATATAACCTGCAAATAAAACACGCATGAATAGATGAGCAATGATGCCTTGTATCTTCGTTAGCTTTGCTCGTCAACAAGTTAAGATCACGTACCCAGAAATATGCAATGCATGAAGTCGAGCGCGGTCTTCTTTGAGGGAAACCAGCCAGCGATGAGGTTAAGCGTGCTCCAGCGAACTCCATGATCATCGAGAATAGCCTTCTGCCGGATTGGATTGGCATGTCGTGAATAGAATGATTGTCGGAGAAGATGATCATCATCTGTTGCTGTCCAGCCTGCAATGACATTCAATACCCGTGAATCCTGCATGAAAAAGGTACTACTGTAGTCATAGCCTTCCCGTGTGTTGATTTTCGTGATGTCGGTATCACAATAGAGACATGGGTGCATGTCGTGCGAGTGGCCTGCTGTTCCCGACAACTTGTGGGCAGCTGGCATGTCACAATCGAGGATCTGATTGTCTGCGTAGACGTTAGCTTGTTCATCCTCGTCGATAATGTCCATTTTGACGCCTGGAGTTATATGGCTGATAAAAAATAAATCAATAAGCGAAATCTATCGAAGTTACCGTTTTGAAGGAGCATCATCTCCTTTGTTGATGGTTCGAGGCAGTGATTGATCTGCTGGACGTTAGGCTCTTTCGGTCCTGGTAAAACAGCAGCACAGATGACGTTTATCTGAAGGAAGCGCTGGTCCCGAGGCAGATCATTGATCGCAAAGTATATTGCTCCGGTTGAATGCGGTCGGTTCTCGAGGATTCCCATCCTGATGATGAACATATTAGCCAAATATATGCGCATAATTGAAGCCTACCAGTCCGTATTCATAGTCAGATGTAAGCCATAACGATGCTCCGTAAGTTTCTTCACCATCCTTCCCTCCATTGCCCGGTCTCGCACAGCTCCAAACTCACCAACCTCGCGTAGGATGTTAGTCTCGAGGTCATGCCACTGTGTCCCATGATGGATATCCGTCATAACGAAATCTTCGTCGGTGTTCTGTCCAGGTTGATCCTGCCGACTGTCGCGGATCGACTGTGCGAATCCTGGACGCATGAACATGCGCCGTAAACTGCCAATGACGGACACCTGCGGATTGATTTTTGTAGCGGTGCGGACCATCTTACCTTTTGCATCTCGACGTTCGGTGTAGATGACACCATTACAGGCCGGAACGGAGCATTCCGCAGAAAGAAGCTGCTTGAGTTGTGAAGGCGAGTGATGTTTCCAGCATTCAGGGCATATCGCATACTGAGTGATCCATTGGTCGGGGTCAATTCCAAGGTGCCGTTTTGCGCTGGCTAATGCTCGAACAGGTCGTGGAAATGTGGGGAGTACGTTCGCGATCAGGAGCATGTTGAGACTATGATTTAGTTGATTTGTCGCCTGATTCCACGAGAGGTGGCCATAAACGTTGGCCATGACAGCTGTAAGGTAAGCATATCGAATTTCGCCATGTTCCTTGAATGCAACAGGCACGAGGGATGGTGCATCAGCCTCGTCCTGATCGACTCCGGGCTCGCGAACATCAGGTAGTGCAGCCGGCTGAAAATTCTGATCAGGGCGATGCGGCTGAAGTTGTCGACGTCGAAGGAGGGGTAATTCTTGGTTAATATCCGGTAGGGGGTCCTGCAGCTCCTGTTCAGCGTGATACTCATGATCAAAATCGAAGTTAGCATTGTCTTGAGGCTGTGAGTTCATTCGAGCTAGGGGAAGCGCATTTCTGGCTTGCTCGCGCAAGTCTCTGCTCTGAGTTCTTCGCATAGATACATCCTGCGAGTTTGACTGTAGCGGCTGCACGGAAGGACCTGGTATGGCATTTGTCTGCGAAACGAGAGGTTGGCGACCCGGAGTCAAAGTAGCTGGCTTTGGTGCGTGTCGTTGGATTTTTGATGCTGGGTTGTACTTCTTCATGTGCTTGGCAATTACCTGCCGAGTCTGATATACAAATCCGTTTCGATGGTGCGCGCATTGACTACAAGCACACGGAAAGCGCAGTTCGTCTGGCATGATGGTCGTCGTGCTTGTCGACAGGGCTGGAGGTGACGAATTAGCTGGGAGATGGGACGTAGGACTTAGCAAAAATCTCAGTCGACGACGTCATTGCAAGCTTCGCGTGCACCGCGCGTTAATATTACTTCGATCGCATCATTGTGAGCTGTGCTAGGCGCAAAGTCGTTTATATCATATAGATTTTGACGATGGGTAGCACAGCGTAGTTTGACACTCCGACAAACTATCACAACGGGTAATTTAGGTTCGGGGGGAATGCGTGGAAATCTATGGAAATTGTGAAATTTCACCGAATTTCACCTCAGTAGTAATGCGCTGTTTTACGCTGTGTGACGGGGTGTCGAGTCAGGCCGGGATAATCATTATGTAGTTCAAGAGATCAGCGTGGCGTAAATATTAATCTACAACCTTGACTAGGGACTAGATGGGCATGCCTGGCTGCAGACCCGGGCTGGAGAAGCTTGGCTGCAAACTCATAAAACAAAAGACTGGCTGAAAACCGAAGCGAGGGAGGCATGGCTGCAGATGTGGGGATTTGAAACATGACAAAATCTGCTGCGCTGTCTTGTTATCGCACAGATCTCTCGCTTTCATGTTCACTTGATGCTTCGTAGACGAGGTTCGGCATCATCGAACACTTTGGTGGCACAAATGTCATAGTCTCTATGTAGC